TTAAACATCACATATTTTAAACGAAAACTTGATTTCCTTTTCTCTCTGTCTCTCTCTCTCTCTCTCTCTTTCTCTCTCTCAGTATATGACTCTGGGCTTCCTTCTTGAGTACTGTAATCATATATATATATATATATATATGAAATATATATATATATATTTCTGTATATATAGTACTATATATAGTACTATAATCATATATATATATATATATATATATATTTCTTACATCTCAAGGGCTGTATTCTGTACACGTCCGACAACTATCGGATCGGTAATGTCTGGTCTACGTATGCCAGAGTCGGATGTCGGAACGCAGCCGATCGTCCAATGAGATGATTTATTTTTCGAAAGTGAGTTCTCTTCATTGAACCATCGACTGCTTCCGACAACGATATACGACGTATTGTAGAACAAGCTTAAATGCCGTTACACAGCTTTTTTGTTGTATGTTATATCCGCGCAACAACACATTCCCTAGCCATTAGTTGTCGCTAGAAGTGTACAGAATAGCACCCTAGGATAATTATTGACCTGTTCTTTTTAACTGCACCGCTGAACTAGTGCAATAAGTTGAAGCGAGGCAAGTATATGTTTTCTCACTTCAATTTATTGCACCTGTTCAACAGTTCAGCTAAAAAGAACAGGCTATATAAATATATACACTTTTTACACGTTAGTGGAGATATTTCAGATTAAAAGAACAGATTTTATAAGGGTGAAATTACACGGTGCGTAATAGAACCGCGGAAAAAGAGTGCGTCATAGAAGCAACCAATCAGCACACAAAACTTGCGTGATAGAAAAAGCGGAGTAGTGCTGATTAGTTGCTACTATGACGCACTCTCTATTGTAACGTCCGGACTTATTTTGAAATATTAATAATATATTAGTATAGATCGGAGGCCGACTTGTCTGATTTCAGATATCATTAGGTTAAATATTCACCAGGTATAGATATTTTATCCCTATGTTACTAGATGTAAGTACGTGCGCATATGTATATTTGCGCATGTTAAATATTGTAATTAAAATTATAACGCCAAAGAAACGACGTGTCGTTAGAGAGTCTTAAAATCGATGGATCAACTATAGACAAGAGAAACCGTAATCTCAATGCGATAAGGCACCCTGCTGCTACATAAACAGGAGCATGAAACCTAAATCCAAACACCACTCAAGACCGACGCGGTGACATCATACCGATGGAATGAATTTCTTCCATCTCTACGACTCCATCAGCCAACCAGAAAACGACTCTCAGCGACAAAACAACGTATAAAAACGCGCGCATTCGTTGAGAAAGCGATTCTTTTCTCGTAATTAGTTTTTGGTACTTTTGTACTTATATAGTTTGAAATATATTAGTCGTAAAATCCGACTGTGTAACAAGTATTTTTGTCTACCCCTCATTTCTCGAACGTTGCGAAATCGAAATTGTAATCGCGGACCGCATCATTCCGCGCAGCGCCGAAACATCCGAGACCGAGGCAGGAGAACGAGCGGCTCTGACTTCTCACCAGATTCATCGATCGTTTCGCCAGATTCCGGAGACCCAGGGTAAACTCGGTGAAAAGCAGAGTGACCTAAAAGCAGAGTCATCATTCTGTTGACCGTCCACGTAAGTCACTGATTTTACCACATTCAAATTTCCCTATATAGTTATCTATCGTGGACGTAACACTATTCTGCAGTTCTATTACGCACCGTGTGATTTCATTACTAAATTAGTAATTGAGTAATTCAGAGAATGAGCCAATCAGTTCTTTATTTCCACCCTGGTGATAAAAATTATAAATTCTCATTGGCTCATTTTTTAATGCTTTATACGTAATGTTTTATGACAAAATCTGTGCTTTTCGCTTTACTTAATCGAATGATAGGATTTTTTTTGCCTTCCCTACGATCACAGAGATTAAAAACTACTAGATTTCCTACGTACTACGGTGCAAATAATTTTCCTACAATTGCTTATCGAAAACTACCAGACTTAATAGGATTCTTATTAAGATGGCTACACTGCGTACGAATATTCTCCAACAGCAACCTCTAGTGGAGAACTAAATTTACTCACCAATTTGGAGAATTTTCCTGTCAGTGGATTGGCAAACCTGACTGCTATATGTTCGGTCAGTTGTCATTCGTTTCGCCGATAGTAGTTGTGCAAGTTTTTCGTTGTGCTTATCAGTAAATACTACAGCGTCGCATTTCTGCGATTGTGGCGCATGAAATGCATTAATCGTTTGGTTTCCTCAGACTTCGTCGTCTTTCGACCAGGTACGGTTTCAATTACTGCATTCTTTCGTTCGCTCATGTGCGAGCACTCGCGAATGTATTGCGAATTTTAAGGTTAGCCACTCGTCAATTTCGTCATTTTTCTCACCTTATATGACATTTCGTCGCTTGCCACGATTATTCTCGCTGTTCGCGTCTTCGTCCGGAGTAACAACGTCGTCGAAATACACATCAATTCGGTAGTGTCACGCGAGTACTCGCCAATATTCGCAGAATTACCCACGCAATAACCTTGCTATGTACGATTGTACATAATGAACTTATGAAGGTTAACGATAACATATTCTACGAGATCAGATCGATCAGTCTTGAAAATCATCAACTAACTCGATATACGTGTTTAATTCTTTTAATTCCAGCTTATTTTAATTTTACATCTGTGCAATGAAATGCCTAATATATTATTTCATATATTATTTATGATCTTTACTAACCGTCTTATTATTGTTACAGGCCGTGTGACAGTGATTCCGTAAAACATGACAGAACCAAAGCCATCAGGACTGAGGCCACCCTCAAAGATCGGCAGGCCATGTTCCACCATGCCGCCCAGACCAGCTATCCCACCTTCTTCACCAAGACCAGTGTCCAGTGAGCCCTTCACAATAGCATATACCATATTCTTCCATATATATTCTGTACATTTGTCGTACTTTTATATATTTTAGTATTGTTCTGTATAATTTTTATTTTTGTAATATAGAGATATGATTATATTTAATGACGTCGTAGGCACTAGATATAAAAATTAAGATATCTCTGACAGAGAAGATATCTTAGAAGAAAGGATAGGTCAATGTACACTCGTTGGATTCTCATTAAGAGAGAAAATGTAACATACTTTTTACGGCCGAGTTTTTTACACTATTTGTGGTTCGTCCCTTTGAATGCACACTGCGAAGACACTGTGAGGACGACGACGCGTTATTAATTTTTCTTGCACACGGTGTTGCACATACATGAAAGAGAGGGGGAGAAAGAGAAGGAGGGAAAGATAGATAGAGAGAGAGAGAGAGAGAGAGAGAGACGTGCACGCCCACGAGCGCGTCGTGAACGAGAGTGCTCTTTTACGCGTGAACTGCTCGCGAGTCGTTCCTCGACCGTTCGCGACGACGCATCGGCCGCCAGAGAAACCGGGTAAATATTTCTCATTATCTTAGATTGAAGAGTCGTTGTCTCTGCCAAGTTGTATTGAAAGGATAAAATATCAACAGTACATAGCGCGTTTTGCAAATGTTTTTAGAAAATTTGAAAATTAAAAGCAAGAAACGAATTTTTCTCTAAAATTCGCTGTAATCTACATAATTATCTATAATTGACTAATCTTATAATTGATTGAGAGTACATCATGTATTTAGGCGGTAAATCGCTGAAAGTAGTTCGAGCGATTAAGAATGTTTTTTGAATAATTAATTCGGAAGAAAGAAAAAGAGAAATTTGAAGAATCACGGTATTCAAATTATAACAATTTTATCTTGGACGTTCGACTTAACGTATACTCCGTTTTACATTGTTAAACCCAAAATTTTGTTACCCTTTTTTTCTTCATTACTCTTCCATACTCTTGTTCTTTTTTTTTCTTCAGTCCAATACTCACGATATCGTATTTACTACTTGATATCACTTTGAGCACGAAAAGAGCGAGCGAGCTAAAAATAAGACGCATCGTTATTTTGCGAATTTCGATGCATCTTTATGACTATCGCGCGCACGTCCAGGGCACGTATCTTGCCTTATTGGTGTGATGCTGTTGCATCGCCTTCCTTGTCCGTGCACAATCGTACCGCGTGCGCTCTCATCGGCTGACGCATTGCGATTATGCAAGCCGCTGTTTACCTTGCGCTCGCGATTTCATCCCGTGTTTCATCTCTCCCTCTGAGTTCTTTCTCTTTTATCGTCCCCCTTCATCCTCTCCTGTACGGTCGTCTCGGAATGGAATAATCATTCGTTTGTCCCTTCGATCGTCTCGAACTTCGTAATCCGATCGGAAGATTCAAGGCCCGGCGATTTGTTCTCTTCGGAATCCGCGGTCAATCGTTCGGAATTACCGACACAGGTAATTAGTCTGCTCTTCTTAGCTGAAATTATTGTGCTATTCAAGAAATTTACACACACTGAAGCGTAAGAATCTCGCACATACATGTCATACGTTTCAATATGTGTATAAATTTCTTGAACTAATGCAACCAATTTAGCTAAGAAGAACAGACCAAGAAATGCCTTTCCCTCTCTCTCTCTCTCTCTCTCTCTCTTAAATTTTACGTGAAAATACGAATTTGATCACTTTACGATTCTCATAGTAGATCGCAACAACTGCTCCGAAATTATCGTGCGTTTCTCTTTGATCAGCTCTGATTTTCCGCTGTTCATTAGCGTCGTGAATGTTATCAAAAGGCAAAGAATTGCTGCGTTAGCGGCGCCTTGCACTGACGTAATCGGGATGGTGTTCTGTAACTGTGACACCATCAGCTAAATATGGAGAGATAAACGATTTTACGAACGGCGACCGGTGAGTTATACTCATTTCTAGCCGCTTCGCGTATTTATACGAAATGTCCACCGGAGCCGGTTTTAAGGTCACCCATTCGATTTTTTATAGTCCGACGTAAGAAACGGGAGGGAGGGAGGGAGCAAGGGAGAGAGAAAGAGAGGGAGAGAGAAAGAGAGAGAGAGAGAGGAAGACAGAAAACCTGTTATTAATTCCTAGTATTAAAACTATTAAAACGTCAAGAATGACAAGATATTGCCGCATATGAAGTATATTACGACTTGACGTTGTACACGTTCACTTTTGAGATTATTTTCGAGGCGTTTCATCGGGCTTTAAACGAAGCCGCTTTCATAAAGCCGAACATATCGCTAATTGACGCGAAATGATAATTAACGACAAGACGTTGAGGAGTTCGCGGTCACGCATTCGAGGCTCCATTACGTCATAATCTCGTTACACCGCGGGATGAGAATTGCAGGTCGGTCGAATGATGACGCGCCTCTCTATAGTTTAAGCTATTAACCTTGTTTACATGCGAGATATGCACAGTCGAAAGAGCAAAGTGCCCGTATTTGATGACTTCAGCGGATTACATTACCGTATCGAATGCCGATCAGGGTACTTGACACCCCATTGACGCGGGATTCAGATCCCGCCGGATATAGTTGAAGATCACAGATTCCGACGGAAACGAGAATATTCGATACGATTCGAATCGATTTGCGAGAGATCAAGTATCGATATCGGATGAAAAAACATGTTGCAATTATGCGTATATCCAACGCGCAGAATTAACAACCGTACGAATGGCGGCGTCACGATTGTTCGCGTCGGTGCCCGTCGGGAGACACATTAATCAAGGTTTAATACGCTCGAATTAAAAAGTACAGTGTGTCCCGTCATTGGAAATTATCGAGCGCGTACGCGTTGCGCGTCGCAACTGGTCTGCAATCGCAGGTCGTCATCGCGTTGCGCACGGATTTGCGTAGCGACGAAATTTACACCGAATGTTGCGGAACGAGTCTGTATCTCTCGATGAAGATTCGTCATTTAATTTTCTTTCAATTCCGGAGTATCCGCTAAGTTAGAATTCATGTCTCCGCTTTTATGTCAAAATCAAGATCGAACATATTTAAGAATTACCCAAATAATTATTTTTGTTGTTGTTGTTATTATTATATTAAAAGAAAAAAAGTTACTATTCAGGTAAATATTTGCTAAGAAACTGGAGCAATTATTGTGTTCGAATTAAGTAAATATTACCTGCATGTAGTACTTTGTCTTTCAATGTGCACACAGAAAAATATTACTCATAGCACGAAGAAAAGCAATGATTCGATTTATTTTTCTTCTTTTAAGTAATGTTTATCTTGAACGAAGAATATTTTCTTGATTATTAGTATTAAAATATATTCATCACAGATATTAGAAAAGCGCATTATTATTTCCTCAAAAGAAGAAATTTGTTTTCTCTTCCCAAGAAGATATTATGAGCTTTATCGAAAAAAATTATTGCGTGATGTATATTTTAATATTGTATCAAGAAAATAATCGAATAATTGCTTTTCTTCGCAGTACAATATTTTTTTCTGTGTGCTACATTTAATTAATATTTATTTAATACAAGTAAAGTATTCCAATATTCCTTAGCAAACATTTACCTGAATGTAACCTTTTTTCCTTCAGTATGTCGTTATTATCACACTCGCGCAACTATTCCGCTATATCGTGGGACTCCGCGCGATTGATCCCGATCGCTTGATCATTTGTTATTAAAAGCGATCGCGTCGTGCACATAAAACGAAGGTGCATTAATGCAGATTGCGCCGCGCGATAAAGTCGACCCCGGAGACGTGCTCCGTACAATACAATGTGCTTCTCGCGGTTGCGGACATGTAATCGCGATTTCATCTCGTCGAACAGAGGTTCCGACCCACGCGACCGACCTACTACGATCGCCGCCGCGACCGCCGTCGTCGCCGTTGCCGCCGCCGCCGCCCACTCGCATTCTCATAAATAATTAATTAAGTCGCAAATTGCGATACCCGGACATGTGCCGCGGTGATTCCTTTTGCGGAGTTTTTTCGCAGCACGAAAATACCCGACGACAGCGATTGGCGACGTGCCGACACATGTCTTTCCTTTTTCCTCATTTCTTTCTTTGTATTTCCCCCGTTGCTCGGTGTGTGTTCGCGTTGATGCACTCGTTAGTTCATTAGGCTCTGAAGAAGGTATGATCGTGTCCGTCCGTCCGTCTCTCGCATGATTGCGCTAGAAATTGTTCCGATCTTATCGGCGTCATCTGAACACACCCTGACGCCATTAATGACTCGTTTACATAACTCCCTGTCTTGGGCCGATTGTGATCGACTTCCGATGCCGATTATCGCAACAGCAATTAGAACCAAGCCCCGATCCGTTTCACGCCAAATGACGGCTCTCTCTCTCTCTCTCTCTCTCTCTCTCTCTCTCTCTCTCTCTCTCNTCTCAACAGCCCCGTAATAATTACTAATTAACTCGGTTATAATCAACATTGCGCTCTCGACGACGACGCGCTGTATTATAGGCGAATCCGTTATGTCGACTAGTTACAACTAGTTACGGACGATTTTATGATACGAAGTATGTGAGGTGACACACAGGTATGTCATGTTGAACGATAGATTGGCGGAGACTCGGTGCTAGACTGTCGAGGGCGATACGCTTTCAACCACGACAGAGAAATACGTTTCTCTTGCGCGCGGAAGCATGCTCCGATTTTCTCTTTTCGTTTGTTTGTATGTTCTCGTTGTATGATTTGCATTATTTTGCATGACAACGGCAGATCAGATGGAGCCCGTCTGGGAATCGCACGGCCGTCAGATAAACGAGGCTGGTTTGCGAAGAGGATCAGGTAAGCGTGGCGTCGAAGTAACGTTTTCTGTTTTACCGTCCGTTTCGCAAAGTTCCTTATGAGATTCGCGTCGCCAAGTGCAATGAATTTTGAAAGTAACGCATAATATTTTACGTCTGTTAATTACACAACGTTATGTGTAATTAATGGACGAAAATTCGGAAACAGCCTGTTAACACAGAGAAAAAAATTTCTTTTGATTTAATGAAATTTTCTTAATTGAAAGATTTATCTTTTGGAACGGAGCAAACAAAATTCTTTTCAAAATTCTCAAAATCTTTACGTCAAATAGTACATTTCTTTTATATTTTCATCTAAACATTACAATAGTTATCATAAGTAATAAATGATTTGAAAGAAGTAACGTCAAATAGTACATTTCTTTTATATTTTCATCCAAACATTACAATAGTTGTCATAAATAATAAATGATTTGAAAAAAGTAACATTATGTTAGAAGAATGTTAAAGAGCTTCTTTGTTCTAGTGGAACAATATTTAATATATAATTTTAAAATTTCGAGAAAAAACCCGTTTTTCCTCAAAATTTTCGCAGGTTTTCTTCGGTTTCTTTCCTAAGGATACAAAAATTTACTTAGAAATTCGCGTGTGTTTGATTAAAATCTGCCATGTTTACTTTTTTTCCGTAAAAAAATGAGAAACCAAAAAATCATACGTTACATTATATAAATAATACTGTTTTTTTTTTTTTTTCATTAAATAATATGGTTTATCATATTTGTAATGAAACAATATTTTCATTCAAACAAAATGATATTTAATATTAAGTTATGCGTTTTATATTAAACAAATCCTAGTCCAACACGTATACTAAATCCAAAGGAATTTTCTCTGTGTATTGGCCAAACTAAAGTTTGTTCCAATGAAACTTGACAGTTTTTTTCAACTCGTCCCACCGGATTTTCTCCTACGACGGAATATAAAATCTCCCCGAACTGAATTGCTCTCACAACAATAAGTTAAGTATGACAGCAATACGAATGTCGACGAGCTATAGCTTTTGCCGCGAGTATCGTCCGCGCTCGTAACAGTATGTGCGATTGTTGTCATTCGTGTTAAGGAAACACGTCGTACTCTCACTTTGTGCCGAGTCATAATATTGTAGTATATAGTAACGTAGTATTGCATGTGTATCTCGCAGTAACATAGCAGTAGTACATCTGTAGTGACGTGTAATAACGTTACATACCGAACGTACCATAATCGCAGACAGAATACGCAGTGTGTGTGTATGTGCATAAACCGCGTATTCGCGTGATTAAGTGCGCCATTCGTCGTCGAAAATAGAAATCCTTCCGTGATAAATTCGCCCAGCCGGGCGACATATCGGTCGTCGATGGTTCGACCACGTCTCACGGTGAATCCTCTTCGATCCCGCGCAGATACTAGCGTCGTACTAACCGAGGACACAGACAGCTTTAAGATAGGAGACCGGGTATGGGTCGGCGGCACGAAACCCGGCACGATCGCCTACATCGGCGAGACCAAGTTCGCGCCCGGCGACTGGGCAGGAGTCGTCCTGGATGAGGCCATCGGTAAGGAACGTCCCAGAACCGTTCCGAGGATCTTAGCCGATCCGAGGAGGAGAGTTCTGCGGCGGAAATGTTCGTGAGAGAGAACCGCGATAATCATTCGGAGGGAGTGAAGGCACGAACTTGCACTTCAGGGAAGAACGATGGCTCGGTGGCTGGTAGTCGATACTTCCAGTGTGAGCCAAAAAGAGGGATCTTCTCGAGGCTCACCAGACTCACGAGAACGCCGCTGAGCGATTCGATCATTTCGCCGAGGACCACGCCGACCACGCCGCCTGACAATACTCGAAGCCTCTTCAGCAAGTCCATGTCGCAGTCTCTGAGTAAGGATCGCTGCAAGAGATACTCGCCACGTCCATAGATCTCTCAGTTAGCTGCACGCACGCCATCCACGAGTTTGATTTAGTTTCTCAGTACCCTTTCGCTCCTCTCTTCTCGTTCCTTTCTTTCGCTGATACACGAGACATTTCATTCAGACGCAGTCATCTCAGTGACGGTATCGAATTGAGAAATATTTAATCAGTGTTGCCTTTTGTCTTAAAAATTATCATTTTCTTTCATCGAAACTATTAATACGCATTTCTTTTGAGATACATTTTCCGGATATCAAACGTTTCTTCAGTATCACCGGACAGGAAAAATGCGAGGGTGAAGGGGTCAATGGTAGCCAACCGTAGTTGTGTGTATGTTAGATGCTTATCGAGCAGTAAGTGTAGCGATAGTGATTATTTATTTCAATTATGGTATCGCGATAGTGCTTGGAGAAAACGCTACCGCCCGGCCGAAATAGAGATCCACGCGACCCTATACAAACGGGCGACGAAGTAATTCAATTTTCGGTCAGCATGCAGCATGGAAGCAATTCTATTCTGGCGGCACGCGGTATGCCGAGATGAAGCCGCGGCATGACTTGACGCCGAGGTAGTGAACCAATTCCGCGAGTAACGGGTTCATCGTCGAATAAACGTACTCACGTATAAAGATCGATATTGAATAAATGTCAAACTCATAGAGACGCGAAGATTTAACCTCGTCGGCGGGGTACACAGTCCGAAGGTAGGCGGAAGATATCGTCACCGTTATCATAGAAAATAACGCTCGAGAAGTAACGTAGCCGTCGCGTGGAATACGAAGAGTTTGCTCGATGTTCCATTCGCTCTTGGCGTCTCGTACGTTATACTGATCGTGCTGTCCGCGCTGAAAATTGTGAACGCAGACACATCCACAACTAGTCTGTCGTCGACGGTGTCGCAGAGGAGTGACCTGAAGATAGGTGACCGGGTGATAGTCTCGTCGAGCCAGGGCAGCAAAACTGGCGTACTCAGGTACCTGGGCACCACGGAATTCGCCCCGGGTGAGTGGTGCGGCGTGGAATTGGATGAGCCGGTCGGCAAGAATGACGGCTCCGTCAACGACAAAAGGTGTGCATCATTCATCCCCCCCGTCACGAGCCTCCGACGTCGAAAGTTCGTCTCCCTCGCCTTCTCATCGAGCACTCGCGATGATCGTTTGATGCAATCGCACGCTTCCGCTAATGCAGTCGGCGGATGTCGCCGGGAAAAGAGAATCGCGCGATTCTCGAAGGTCGTTCGCAGAGACTCTTTCTTTCTCAGCGGGAAAAAAACGCTCGTGCCGGGAGATGAATCCGGACGATCGTCACTTCGCAAAGTTAGACTTGCGCGTCGAGCAGATTTTGTTCCCTCCTCGCATCCTCCTCGAATCGCTCTTGGCATGATGGAAGATCGAATTGGAAGATCTTTCGTTTTCGGTTATCCTGACCGTCCAGGGTTGGCAAAATTCCAGATTTTTCGCATAAAGTTCAGTGTCAGTGGTAAAACCGGTATTTTCCGGAAAAAAAACCCGGCAAAAACTGGTCTTTTTTTAAAAACGTTAAAATAAATAGGAAACTTTTTCATCGATATTCTAATTCACAGCCCAAAGCGCCCTATAGTCTTAGCTATGCTGTGCGCAAGAATCTGCACGTAAAAATCAAATGAAAAGTGCACATTTATATGTTCATACTTTCTATGAATCTTTCGATGCAGCTATATTAATGTAGAACTATTAAGGTAGAAGTACCAGTGCCAGGACACACACCTAACTCAGGACATTCTTGTTGTTTTGGTCTTTAAATCAGAATATTAAAACTTTTAATATAGAATACATATATATACATATATTGAATATATGCAAATATTTTATGTTTAAAAATTAAATATTCGTATTTAAAGACCAAAACAACAAGAATGTCCACAGTTAGGTACGCGTCCAGGCATTTGTACTTTTACCTTATACGTTTATCGTTTACTAGTGAAGTAATCAATTAATATGAGTAATTTTAAAAATACAATTGGAGTTAACACGAGTAATTTGAAAAATACAATTGGAGGAAGATTTTGGACATTGTGTGGACTTATTTTGTATCCTGTTCTGTTGATGACGCTAATAAACAGTAATGTATTGCTTGTGAAATAATATAGTAAGCGCAAAAATTCTACGACTGAAACAGCATCTTCAAAAGCGTGATAAGGTTAAAATAAACGTAAACACGAACTAGATATATATTGATACAAATTTTTAATTCTGCTATTATTTTCTCACGTTGAACTAAAAACTAATATAAAATTTATTGACATTTATGTTTCTAAAGTTTTTATCTTAAAAATGTATTTTACATATCACTTTGAATTAAAAAACGACTATTATTATAGTTTTGTTTTTCTTTTAAATCATAGTGACTAGTATGATTTACTAATTAAAGCAGAAATATCTTTTTGCATAAAATTATAAGAATATATTACGTGTTCCGGTTAGTTTTGAGGGATTTTTTGCAAAAAAACACGTTTATTTTAGAGAGACGTTGAATTATATTTTATTCAAAATATTTTTCACCGCTAGTTACAACTTTTTCCCACTTTTCTGGCAATAAGTGGATTACGCGGTAAAAGAAATGTTCGTTTTTCGAAACAATCCATTCATCGAGCCACTTTTATATTTCATCATATGTTTTGAAGTGCTGGTCAGCAAAACTGTGTTGCATCGATCGAAATAAGTAATAATCTGAAGGAGAACAGTCTGGCGGCATGTGGTAAAATTTCTCAACGAAATGCCGATAACGTATATTTAACTGCTTTTGCAACGCGTGATCAAGCATTGTCGTGCAACAAAATCACTTTGCATTTTCTTAGAGCTGTTATTGGGCGTTTCTGGTTCAAAGCACGATTCAAATTGATTAATTGTTGTTGATAACGCTCAGCAGTGATTGTTTAATTCGGTTTCAGCAGCTCATAATATATGACACTTTTTATGTTCCAACTGCACAACAAAATTTTACTTCCGTGGATGTTGCGTTTCGGAGTCGATGTCGACGGTTGGCCGGGATTTACCCTCGATTTTTTACGCTTAGGATTATGATAGTATATATACTTTTTTCATCGCCAGTTATAATTTGATACAAAAACTGCTTTTTTTGTGACGAGGAAGCAATGAAGTGCAAATGGTTAAACAATTTTGAATTGCCAATTCAGACAATTCGTGTGGAATCCATTTGCCTTTTTTTTTAATTTTCCCCAATGCGTTTAAACGATCAGAAACAGTTAATTTACCAACATTTAATATTTTAGCTAATTCTTTAAGCGTTTGAGCTGAGTTTTTATCCAACAATGCCTGTAATTCGGTATCTTCGAACTTTTACGGTTGACCTGAACGTTCTTTGTCTTTCAAATCGAAATTACCACTTTTAAATCGTCGATACTAGTATTCGCACGTTTTAACTGATGGAGCAGACTCAGAAGAAGTTTCTGAGATGAATCGGTGAGCTTTGGCAGCCGTTTTTTTTCGAATCAAAGCAGTAAAATAATAGATGACGAAAATGTTCCTTATCACGTTTCATTTTCAATCGCACTAAACAGTACGGTTATGTTTACGAATACACAGGACCTGTGTCAAATGATTTATAGAAATGTCCAAGCTTTGAAATGACGTACCAACTTTCAAAATGTCTCTAATAGATTTGTAGCTATAGCCATCTACAGTGAGCCCTCAAAATTAATCGGAACACCTAATATATTTTAATGTTACATAGTTTTTATAGTTTTTGCCAGTTTATTCCATTGGATAATGTTCGGGACACTGAGAAAAAAGTTTGGTTGAATTAACATGACAAAATGAACGAACGCGTTTTAGCTGAAGGAAACAGAATTTCTCATTCTTACGAACCGAATTTGGTTTTTACCCAAACCGATATTTCGAACCGGAAATTCTGTCCCCTTTAACAAAAACGCGTTTGATCCCCTCACGTTAATTCAACAAAATTTTTTTCTCCATGTAAAAGTCAAAATTTACCATGGTTTTTCCCGCCTACTGGAATTTCTCGGCCAACCCTGTCTTCGTCTGTTCAGGGCGTTGCGAACGTTTCAAGAATCCGCCCAGCCTCGATTCCGCGATCCTCGGTGGGCGCATACACGATATCCACCCTCCGCTGCTCGATAAACGCCTCGAACGACCGGGATGCGTCGCGACATAGTTTGCATGACCGGCCCTCGGGATCCCGGAGACCGCGCTCCCGTGAGAACGAGAGCCACGGAACTAACCCACCCGTTGATCCAGATACTTCGAGTGCTCGCCCAAGTACGGCCTGTTCGCGCCCGTGCACAAGGTCAGCAGGTCTCCGTCCAACAAGCGGCAATCCACGTGCGTGGTGCACAAGCCAACCGGCGCTGCCCTCAACGCCAGCCTGAAGAAGAGCGGCTCGCGCGAGTCGCTCGCTTCTCTCACGTCGAGCATCGCCAGCAACGTCGCCGCGAGGACGACCGCCAGCAGCACCGCGAGCAGTACCACCGCGAGGGTAAGGTTCACCATGCCGGAATGAGGGAGAGGAACGCGGAACACCGCTCAGCGTCTCCCCGTCATTCGCTCTTCCCCCTGCCCTCGCGTTTGTTGATTGTTACGTAGCTGTGTGTAGATCTTATTGTTGTTCTCGTGGATATTGATGCTGACGACGGCGGTTGACCCTCGAAATCTTCTCACTCCGCGAGGATTGTCTCCGCGATCGTCCGATCTTGTTCGATTTATCTAGGAAGCGGGAACGAGGAGGGAATTCGTCAGAACGAGGAAAAGGACAGGCGGCGCGAGAATGTTTCACGCGGAAAAAAAACAATTCCGTTGGTATAACTGAATTTTTCGTTGTCTGGGCAACGGACGAAAACTCGCTGTTGTACACTGAGAGAAAAATATAGTTATTTTCGGAGACAACAATATCCTTTTTTCATTTCAACTACAAAAATAGTCGAGATAACTATTTTTCTAATAAATGTTACTATAGTGTTAATGACAATAATCTTACGTGCATGTCGCTACTACTATTTTTGCGGTTAAAATAAAAAAGGATATTGTTGTTCTCGAAAAAAATTATATTTTTCTCTCAGTGTAAGAACGGAAAGTTTCATGTACACGGAAAGAGAGAAAGTAGCTCCCGCAGCTAAAAACTAAGATTTCATGGGTAAAAATAAAAAAAATGAACTGTCCATATTATACAACTGAATGTAGATTAATTTAATTAATTCTTTTTGTCCTTGTATCTAGTTTTTAGCTCCTACAACTGAAAACTAGGTCTCATAACTAAATTAATAGTTGTATATCATGTGGACAGCTAATTTCTTTCTGCCGTGTAAGAGGTTTCTGCTCAGTCAATCGCTCTCAGTTGTTTCAATCAAATTTTAACACTATGCCGTCCGCACGTCTAATCGGGATTCTTTTGTTTGACGCCGGTAGGACTGACTCAGATCATTTCGCTTGTCGCCGGCGGTTTTTCGAGGTCCTCGGAAGATCATAAATCGCATGATACCAACGTGGTGCCACCGGCATTTGCCCGATAGTTTTGCGCATGACACCAACGTGGTGCCACCGGACGGCATAGTGTTAATACAGCCAATGTATTCAGACGAATGTTCTCAGTCACGGTAACAGAAATATCATAACTTGTCACCGATTTTCTATTTCTCGTTGTCGAGTTTTCACCTAATCCTTGTTGCAGTAATCGGGTTTTTCCTTCGTATACTTCGCGCACATATCTAACACGGACTCGATCTCTCCTCCTCGCTCGCGACCTGGAGTTCTCTTCCCGCCCGGTGCGTTGCTCGAGGGTCAATGTTGCTATAAATTATTGGTAGTAATCGCTCGCCGCTTCTTAGGCAGCCCATTTCGTTCCGTCCAATTAGCGAGGTAAATATTGTAACGCGATTAAGTTGCGCGCCAACGCAATTGCCTTGCGATTATGTTGCGTGTGATCACACAGATTAGCGATTAATGTGTTAATCGCTATGGTTAATCGTTGTTCTTTTTAAGGTCGCAAAGTCTCTGCATGATCCTATTCTCTTTTTTTCTACACATATATATGTATTACTTTTTTTTGTTTCATCCGTTGCATCCGATATTCCAGAAGCCTGGCATGCGCACGCCGATACCTGCACGAGGTTCACTGCAGGTGAGACCATAATCATTCTCTACCTCCCGATCGACTCGTTAATGCGGCCGATTAAGAAGTGCGTTCGCCGATTTCTCCTCCTCACTGCTGTCTTTCCTCTCGTCTCGTCCGCAATTGTCCTCGTGAAGCACACGAAATACCTCGTCGTATAGAACACGCGTAGACATAGATTAACTGGCGCACCGTGGCGGTACGTTAATTAGGATATAATTAGCGTGGCTCGTGCGAGCGCGATCTCTCGCACACTTTTGCGTTTTATTTATTTATTCGCCGTGTTATAATTTATTGTCGCCGGAGCTTGTAATATATATTGTCGCCGGAGCTTGTAGTATATATATATATATATATATATATATATATGTATGTATACTATATATATAGTCGACTTATGTGTGTATGTAATGTTAATAAAATCCTAAAGTCCTCTTTCTCTCTCTTTCTCCTCGTGATCTCTTTGTTAATGTAGTCTTTAGGTAGGTATTTCTGTGTCGCCGTTTTGCGTCTTCCTTTTTTTTTAAAATACATCATGTTGACGGTCGAACACTTGGGCGCAAACGACACGAGTTCGTGAATGAATGCATGTTTCGATAGCTACGAATTCATCGGATAAATACATAAAACTTTTCATATGGTAGTTATGAGTTCGTCGACTAAATACGTAAAGCTTTTCGAAATTTCGTGTATTTATTCGACGACATGCGCACGATAACAATTGTGAATTTCGATATAACGCAGACATATCCTTATATTCCGCGATATCGCCTGAGAGAATGACGTATTCCACGTTTCTCGATAAATTTATCTCGAGGATTTTTCTCTTTCTCGAGAACTGATCTACGCGTCGGAGGACAATCGATGACCGGCATCACCGAGTTGATTAATCAAATTCTCGTCGGAGAGTTGGTAATGCGATGCAAAATGTTGACTGCGCGATTTGTATTGCTAATCGCTCGTTGTTAGGCCGCGCCAAAACACGTCGCCTCTGCGTGTCTATATACCTCGCATCGATTAAAAACTTGTCGACGAGAATGCTCGGCTCGGCTGAGCTGTTACATAATGGAACGCAGCACGAGTAAACAATCGCGAACGGCGAACTCGATCGGCTGCGGACGACGACGCTTTAATTTTCTGCCCTCCCCTCTTCACAACTTACGTTGATACTTGCAACTTTCGCGGCTCTTATGTCCGGTTTCACCATTCCGAGTCAAAATTTTGGCCCAAAACTTAAAAATTTTTAATTCTACAATACAGCAGGAGCTAAGATAGTAATAGGTTCAATTTCAATTTTATATTTTAGTATAATATAACCCTTACTTTACTTGGACTTGATGATGTCTTAAATTTCCATTTTCGCTGTTTTAAGTTATTGAAAGTAGCATTAAAATTCAATCTGTAGAAAAGTTCAAGAAAGAAGTTAAAAAGTGTCAATATCGTTAAAATAGGATTTTAATAGTCTATAGACTAAGTAAGTACAAACAGTCCTTAAGAGCGTCAGAATAGCATCAAAACTTCGACTCGGGATGGTTAAAATCTAAATAACGATTAACTCAATGGTATTGACTAATCGTTGGCGAATTAGCTGAATTGATCAATGCGATTGGTCAATTCCGTTGAATTAATCTCGATTAGATTTAAACCATGATGTCAACGAAATCATTCGATGGTATTAATGCTCAAATGAGAGATTAATAAGCGTTTAGCGCTTTAGTTCATTCATTAATTTCGTGAAAAATCCATATAACGAAAATTGCTTTGCTCGCTTGATCCTTCGCGTAAGATCTCTCTCAGCATCGTGATCTCGAGTTAGAACCTGGCTCGTGCTTTTAGGAGGTTTTGAAGGAGAAGCAGCAGGAGATAGATTTCTTGCGGAAGGAGCGGGATCTGGAACGTGAGAGAGTCACGAAAGCGGCAAATCAAGCTGATCAAGCGGAGCAGTCGGCATTGTCGATCAAGCAAGAATATGAAAAGGCAAGTAGACATCTTTGTGACACATTGGGTCGCATTATGGAGATAGATCGATTTCTTTTTTTTACAATTTTGAAGTTTCGGCAAAATATCGTTTTTCTCCCATTTCCGTAGATGATTTTTGTTTCTTTATATAAAACTATTTTTTTTCTATTTTTTCGTTTCGTTTTTTTTTATTTCTTGCGCAGTTTTCTCCCGTGGAAAAATTGTAAAGAAAACAAAACAGTTTTCTGAGTCTTTAAAATTATAGTTTCTTTATAGAGATGAATAAACATTGTTTTTATTAAACAGATTTTATCCGAACACGCGGAAATTTTTCTAAATCAATTTTTGTATCTTTGGGAAACCAAAAAAATTCACGGAAAAATTGGGAAAACTGGTTTTCGAAACTGTAACTATATATATTTTTTTTACAAACAGGGACGAAGCTCGCGTTTGCAATCGACTGTTGAGCAAGTTGCGCGTTCGGGGATATAAAACGAGGATATAAAACGTAACAAATTATAAACGACCTCCAGCTTTTTCTAGGATTTCGTAGATTTTTTACGCGTCTACGAACGCGACAAATCAAATAGTTTGATTCCGTAACTTTTTAAGGTTTCTCGTCCCGGTTTGTTTTGAGATCCCTTTCTTGGTTTTTATTTTTCATCATTTTTACTATCAATATTTAGTATCGCGAGGAAGTGCAACAAAAGATCAACGAGACGGAGACTACCGTTACCAAGCTCCTCGGTGAGAAGGGCACGTTGGTGGTGCAGTTGGAAGAGGAAAAGCGGAAATGCGAGGACCTTCTGTTTCGTTTCGAAGAAGAGTCCGTGAATAAGGACGACATACAGGTACGTGTATCAACGATGCACATTCGAATGCATAATCATTTATCAATTACGACAAATGGCTAGTATGGTGAAAATTATACTCTGAGAGAACCGGTAAGTATACTTATATTTATCCATGAATTTGTGGAATTTGTCTTTCCGGAGAGAAAATCTCACGGGACGTGTATGTCCCGAGTGTTCCAATAAAAAGTGATAATATTAAAGTATTCAATTTTGGTTACCTTACTCTGATTTTTTTTTTCAAAGATACACACTTTGGCTGTAATATTTAGTCATAATTCTAATTAGTCATAAATTCAAAGTCAAATTAGTCATAAATCTTCTATTTAAGATTTCGTACGACACGCTCGCTCGACGAGTGTCGTCATCGTACTTTCCACGTGAAATTCGCAATTGAATATACACACGCGGGGATTAACGGTGGCGGGTGATGTAAATTACAACATGCGCTTGGCTGTACTGTACATCTTGTCTCGGTGATTTTTTCACTAAAGTCATCTTGCGCCGGATTCGGTGTCTCGGCAAATCGATACTCTCGTAACGCGTCGGAGTTTGCACTCGGCGAAGTTACTTACGATTTTCCGAATTCTAACACGCTCATCGAGCCTTCGTCGAGTGATGTCGGGATGACGAAAGTGGCGTTTTTAGGGAGAGGAGAGAGCGCAGTTCAGTTTCCCCTCGGTTAATCTGGCCAACTTATCGTTTATTTTCAGAAAGAGAGATCTGAGCAATGTGTGAGTATCCGAAGGTTTGGGCCCGTGGAAGGATTGACGCAGTATTTCGGCACCGCTTGCCTAGTCATCGCTCTAGCCATGTCGTTTTGTATTTCGTCGCAGTTCTATCAAAGAGCCGCCTGACGTGTATACTAAAACGCGCGAAACGCTAACTTCGCTGCCCGCTAACTTTGTCGGCCGCAACTTTGCCAAACTCAACTAACGCTAAATTCCATTGAATTATGACCGGGGCGACGTCTTTCGGTCGTCTCGGATCGAGTAATGTCGAACATTTCTCATATTATAATGTAGAAATTTCGTTAGTGTTTTTTTAATCACGCGTTTTCGTCAATTTGCAAATTTAAATTGCACATAGAGAAGCTGGAATTAACAGTTAATATTTAAAACGCTTTGCTGTTGCGTAATTAAAAAAGAAATATGCTTTATATATACACACGTACAGATATATTGGTATAATTCACAGGCGTTATACGCTCGTTTGTTATTATTTATTTATTATTTGTTTATTTACATGCATTGTATTTTTTGTCGCCTCCTTTGTACGAAATTATTTATTTATTCGATCGCAAACCACTAATTTTATATTATTTATTCATTTGCTTGTATCATACCTTTGTATACATTCGAGCGTTGAGAGATTGAATAATATATATACCTCTTACACAAATTGGGCACGCGTATAACTTCTTTTCTTTTTTAATCTCTTTTTTTCTTGTTCGTTGTTCAATTAAACAATGTCTGTTTCGCACAATTCGTACGATCAAACAATCACAGGCTTCGCGTATCCCAGTGTGTGCTTCTTGTCTCTTTAATATATGGTTTCAAGTGTTAATACACCGTTATCTCGTCATAATTATATTAAAAATTTTTTAAATGTCGGTTAAATGTCGTTTTAATATCACGAGATTTATGCTTAGATCGCTCGGCAAATTTGTTTAAGCAAAATGATTTTTGCTCAAGAAAGGCGTTGATTAAGTTTCTTTTGAATATTTAGTTGTAAATTAACGCTTGAAACGGACACGCTATACGGACACGATCTCGTACCTACCGACTAAACGGCTGCCCCCTTATCACTAGGTCATAAATACTGTAAATGAAAGCAGGATCAGGGAACTCGAAAAAAAACTCTCAGAGGAGCGGGAGCGCGTCGTTCAGTTGGAACGCGACAATATCAAGCTCTTCGAAGCTGAAGAAGAACTGACTCGGCTTCGTAACGAGATCAACAACGTGACGAGCTCGCAGAATTCTCAGCTACGAGGTAACCAAACGACTAGAGACTAAACTAGACCCACTGCTATTAGGCGAAGTAGATCCTAGACAGGATCTAATAAACTAGGCAATTTCAAAACAACGATGGATCAGCAGATGTGAAGGGCGTTTAGAAATGAAATGTCCGACGACATTTTAAGCATTCTTTTAAGAATTTGAGAGTTCGGATTTCAATTATTTTATAGTATGCCGAAAGCAGACGAGATAATCGAAGGCTCACCGCTAATATCTTCTTTAATCGCCCGTTTCGTGAAGTTCAGCCTTGATTAGAGCGTGTTTTTAGATCTCGAGAGTCGCAATCAAAGCCTGGAAGAAATAAAGGGCAGCCTTGAGAAGGAATTGCAAGAGAAGTCGAGCCTTGTGGACGAGTGCGTGGGGCGCATCAGGGGATTGGAAGTCGTACTGAATGAAGCACAACGAGAGAGCACGACGCACGAGGAGTCCGGGTCCCATCTAGGGAAAGAACTGGAAGCCGCCAAAAAAAGCTTGCAAGACAGGGAGACCCTGTTGGAGAACATGAAGCTGGAATTCGAGAGGAGCACAAGCTCGTTGAACGAAGAGTTGCGGAAATCGAAGGAGACAATCGAGAGGATCGAGCGAGAGAGCGTGAGTGAGAAGGACTCGTTGTTGTCCGAGTACCGACGTAGGATCGAGGAGAGAGATCGGTTGATAAAGGTAAAGACCGAGGATCTGGAGAACGAGTCCAAGAGGCTGTTAGAACAGCGGAACGCTCTCGAGGGCCTGAAGGCCGAGAACGTTAAGTATATGCGTGAACTTTCAGAGTCGTTCAAGCTACAGTTGCACGCGAAGGACTCGAAAATCGAGGAGGTCACGTTGCAACTCAGTCAGAAAGCGTCCGAGACCGAGACACTGTTGAACGAATTATCCGTTCAACGGGAGCTCTGTGAAAAAAAGAACGAGGAACTGGCCAACGCTCTGCGAAAGTTGGAAGGTTCGTTTTGCGGAAATAAAATCAAATTATATACATTGCTCTCTGGTTTACAATCGAGAAGTAAAACTAGGCCAATGCAAGTATCTGGTTGCGATGAGATATATTTGTGACAATATTGCTCCGATTAAATTTAACATTTCCGTAAGATCTCTTAGATACTATCCTCCTTTCTGTGTCGGACTGCACCGAACATTTTATGGGCAATGTAAACCACTGAATCGATTTTTTTACTCGCTAATTTTAATATTACCATTGATTTTTTTCATATATGTCACTTTCTTCCTTCAAGAATGACATTATTGGTTACCTCAACTTAGACTCATCTTAAATTTAACACATTATTATATTTATTATACTCTTTATTTTCTTTTTCTGAATTTTATACTATTTTTCTATTTTCTATGTATTTAAAAAAATTTTTTTGTATTTTAAAAGCATTGTATTAATGGCACATTTTCTGTAAATAAATAAATAAATATTAAATTGTATTCAAACGTTTCAGTCGTGATTACGACTCTCTTCAGTGAAGTCATAAGGAAACTATATACAAGGAAACTATAAGTGTCACATAATTCATGTGTAATTCAATCATTAGTAATTCAAGTTTGACCCAACAGAGAAAAATATTTTGCCATTCATTATTATTATTGTCATAAATATATCGCAACCAAATATTTACGTTGATTCTTATTGATCTGGTTTCACTTCTTGAAATAAAATTATGTGAAAATAGAAATTTGTATATCATAAGAATTGTTTTATTATGCAAGATATTTGTATTCAAAATCTCGAAAAGGATCTCATGATGAAACCTTCATAGATTTTATTGTTTCGCAGAATTAAGCGCGAAGTTGAAACTAGCCGAGGAAAATAACAACGTGCTCTCGAGACAGATCGAAGACTACAAGTCCAAGAACGATGAGAATGTCCGAATAATTCAGGAGAAACAGAAGCTGGTAAGCATCCTTTTCTTCCTGTACGATGTAACACTTACGATTTCTTCCCGTCCACGTTGTGGCCGCAGGAACAAGATCTGGCCAGCCTGGTCGCTTCGGAGGAGCAGTCCACTGCGCAGCTGAATAAATTGAACGAAGAGCTGAAGGTGAAAGACAAGGAACTCGCGGAGCTGCGTCACGCCACTATGGCGCAGATACAGGAGATAACCAAGCGTTTCGAATCCCAAATTAACGACAAAGTCAAGTACATCGACGAGATAAACGCGGATGTCGTTCAGAAGACCCTGATGCTTGTCAAGTTGAAGAAAGATATTGCCGATCTGAAGGCGATTATTGCAAGCAAAGACGAGGAGATAAAGCATTTGCTCGAGAAGACCTCAGGTAAAAGTCAAACATGAATTATCTTTCACAAAATTATTTATTTATTGAACGGAACAATTCAACCCTTCGGAATAAAATCCTTCGATGTACAGAGCGAATTATGGGACGTAGGAAATAATACAAAAATAAACAATCTGAATATAAATACAAAAGAGAACAAATTAATTAATTATGATAGAATTCTGTAAAAATTACGTCGGAAAATTTTCGGGAAAAAAAGATGCGTTTATTCATAATTTAACGCAGCGTTCATTGTGCCCATTAGAGTTACAAGACGCCCTCACGCTGTCCGAGCAAACGAAAACGAATTTGGAGAGCGAGCTTCGCGTATTCGAATCCAACGCGCAATCTTTGAATCAGCAGGTTGCGAAGACGGAAGAGAAAATATCACAACTCTTGTCGCAGAAGGAAAAATTGGTCAGTATAAAGATCATTCAGTTTCCTAGTACCGCGGATTTCGATTTTCATGTTACCCTCGTTATGTCTTCGTTATCTATTCTCATATTGGAATCGAAATATTCTTACCGGTACGTGAACAGGAGTCCGACATAGCTAGTGTGATCAGCAGTGCCGCGGACTCGTCGGAGCAGCTCTCAAGGTACAACGAGGATCTGCAGCGAAAGAAGGAGCTGGACGAAGCTCGCGAGAAGATCTTCCAAACGGAGAACATGTTGAAGTTGATGCAAGGGAAACTGTCGAGCGCTGAGCTGGAGATGAATAAAAGCGCGGCGTTGATGGACCAATTGCGCTCGGAAAAGTCAAGTCTGGAGTCGCAGATGAGTGACGCGAAGAGATCGAACGCCGATTACGTCGAGAAGATTCGCCAGTTCGAGCGAAAGGAGAGCGAGTTGTTGGCGAAAGTGGACGAAGGCGAATGCGTCAAGATGAGTTTGGCGGAGAGGTCTCGCGAGATCGCCAGTCTCTTGGAACGATTGACGTGCAGCGAAGAGGAAATCGCCGCTCTTCGTGGTCGGTGCGAAACCGGGCAAAGATTCCACGAAGAAGAGGCGTCCTCGCTACGGAAAAAGATCGCCGACTTGTCGGCCGAATTGTCGAAATTTCAGGATGAAATGAAGAATTTGCAAAAGTCGAAGGGAAAGTTGGAGGCTGACCAGAGCGCGAATCGATGGACCATCGAGGAACTGACAGAGAAACTGAACGTCGTATCTGAGAATACATTAAAATTAGAGGACTTGCTTCGGGAAAAAGATTCCAAGCTGCAGGACGCGGAGAATAAATTGTTGGAATTGCGAAAGACGAACGATGCTTTGGCTACCGATAAGGAAGCGTCCGATAAGAATTTAACCGCGTCGTTGAACAGCGCAACTAGTACTGTGAAGGAGTTGAAGAATCAGTTGAAGAGCGCCGAACAGACGATCGGAGCCAAGACGAACGAGGTGTCGAAGGCCAGAGCGGAAATAGAGAAATGTATCGCACAAATAGCCGAATTGAACACCACGGTCTCCTCCATAGGGGAGGAGCGAACGCGTAGCAGTAACGAACTGAAGGACGCACGAGAATCGATCACGCAGCAACAAAGCGTAGTAAACGAATTAACGAAGGCTAAGGCAGCTTTAGAAGATTCTACGAATTTTTTGGAGACGCAGCTGTCGAGTACACGGGGAGAACTGCAGAAGAAGGACAAACTGTTAATCGAGACGGAAGTTAGAATGAAGGAATTGAACGCCTCCAGAACGGAGGAAATATTAAAACTGCGGAATACGTTGGAATCCGAGGTAGCAGTGCAACGGAAGGAGATCGAAAAAGCTAACAAGCTAAATGACGAACTCGAAGAAAAGCTACGACGATCGCAGGACATTATTAACAAGAAAGCGGCTGATCAGAGTGAAAAAGAAGCTGCTATCGACGATCTGCGAGCCCAGGTGAAGGCTTTGGAGGATGCGCAAGTGGAGAGAGCGAAGGCGGAACAACAGTCGCGCAATGAAGAAATCAAACAGAAACAGAGCGAGTTGAGTGGCACGAGCAAGCGGATCAACGAGCTACAGAGCACGGTGTACACGTTGGAGAAAAGACTGAGAGAACAAGAGACGAAGTCAGCGGAGTTGGCGAGAACTATGGAGTATAATGAGAAGGAAGTAGACAAGAATGTACAAAACCTCGTGGAAAAGTTGAATGTCGCCAAAGTGGAGGAGACGCGGCTCTTGGACGAGCTGAGTCGACTGTAAGTATATTTATAGTAGTAGTGTACAATGTCTTAAATACATTGGACATGGTTTTATGACAGGAAGAAAAGATGATATTAATATGTTAGTTATTTTTTTTTAATTATGTTTTATTGAATATCCATATATTTTACAGAGAAAAAGAAAATAAACAAGTTACTGCAAAATGGTTAGAAGCGACAAATCAATTGAAATTGACGCATGAAAATATGAAGAATACTTATGACGTGAGTATAATTTTTTCTCCAAATAATATATATATTGCCTTACCTTACTTTAATACATATATATATAGTGATATAACAGAATTATATATATAATTCCGTTATATTACTATGATAATAATATGCATATGCGCGCGCGCGCACACGCGCACACACACGCACAGGAGCACACACACACACACACTATAATAATATATTGTATATATAATAAAGTAAGGAATTATTAATCTGCATTCTAGGCCACAGAAGACATAAAACAGCATATCGGTACGTCACTCGCAATTATTGTGACAATAAAAAAATCAACAATGGCGATTTAACATCGATTTATTCTTTTAGTTACAAAGGATATTGACGTCGCAAAACTGCAGGAAGAAAACGACACAACTAAGAGTCAAATAGACTTTCTGAACTCCGTGATAGTAGATATGCAACGTAAGAATGAGACTCTGCTGTGTAAAATCGAGGTCCTCGAAATGGGAGTTCCCTCGAACGAAGCCGACGATTATAATCGGTACGCGCTTTATTTATGAAATATAGTTTCTTTTTTAAATTATGGATAATAATTTGAAGTTTGTTCGACAGAAGCACTTTGGACAAGCGAATGGCGGTGCCTCGTATGTTCTGTGATATTTGTGATCAGTTCGATTTGCATGAAACGGAAGACTGTCCCCGGCAGGCTCAAGATTTCTCAGAGAGCACCGAGAAAATGCCGAAATTGTCGAAGAAACAACCGGTAGAAAGACCGTACTGCGAAAACTGTGAGAGTAAGACAGACCCACCGTTTATATATAATCGTTAAATTAACTAAAAAATAAAATATATAATTTTTTTATTCGAAAATGTTCTGAAGATATCAATTTATCAAGTTATAATCGAAGTCAGCATTCTTTTAACTTTAATTTCTATTTCATTGTTATTCGAGTTTAAATTGAAAATAAGTTGTAATTTTAATTAAAAATAAATTTGACTATGTCATGTCGTTATAGATATATTTGATTGAGATGTTATTAATCTCTCTTGTACTTAATTTCAATCTCAATTTTTGTATCTTCTCGAAAATTTTATCAACAATTACCACTAATACTTTCATTTTCGTTGATTGCAGTGTTTGGGCACGACACGCGCGATTGCGACGACACCGAAACATTTTAACGTTACGTTACTGTCCGTAGACTCGTTCCATTGCTTGCCAGATGTCCCGTAGCTGTAAAGAGATCTGTTAGACTTTACAGAGTATATTTTTGTATGGCGAACTTTTCAATTCGATCCGAATAAGTCTTCCCGCATAGGACGGGTATACCTATAAAACTTCCCAATACATTATAAAAATTTATGTTCCCTTCAAACGACGTGACTTTCACATTGATATGTCCTTTATTAAGATTCGAGAAATTCTGTTATCGTCGTACAATTTGTTCTCTTGTTATACAGTCGGGTTAAACATTAATCGGTTTTTGATAGAATTTGATAATAATAATAATCGTTTTCTGTTTAAAAATTCATTTGGAGGGAACATACGTTTATTTTCCAGCTTTAATACCCGTTTTTTAACGTCGAGACAAATTATGTGTAATTTTGTATATACTAGGTACTCGAATTAACATGTTAACTCTATTTAATATTTATTTTCCGCGTTTTGTGCGGCTTTAAAAAACATAGTTCCTGTAATGCCGACTGATAAAAGCGCAGTTTACTGCATAAGATCTCGTTGATTAATTGGCGCTTCTAATTTGAATGCAACATATACGGCTTTCAATTTTACAGTCTTCCTCTAACAGGCAAAGAAAAGAACTAGCAATGCATACGTCAAAAACGTTTAGCGCTTAATGTCGACTTTTACGAATATAGTGACCTGCTATTGTCTTTTCGCTACGAAACTTAGGATCAAAACTTATATATTTTCTAAATTAATTATATTGTCATGACATTTGATGCCTAGGAGTCGCAGATAATGCTTTGTAGATAAAAATAAACGGAATCTTCCGCAGCAGCTGTAAAAGAAATAGAATCTTCAATGATGGTTCTACTTACTTGAAGCAACATAAACCCTCCGACAAGTGGTGTTATTTCTGGAAAGAAAGCGCTGCGAGGAAAAATAAAGACGATATTAAAATTATAAATTGATACCTTATTTCTAAATTTACTATATCTTCTACTATATCTTCTGCCTTATTTCTAAATTTACTATATCTTCTGCCTTATTTCTAAATTTACTATATCTTCTGCCTTATTTCTAAATTTACTCTATCTTCTACTATATCTTTAATTTATATTTTTAATTATTTAACAAGCAGATAAACATTTGGTAGTATCATATATCACACACTTTTATAAGTGAAATTTAATCGCTAGCAAATGCATGTTGAGTAAGTAGAGTTAAATGTTCACCGATCACCAAGAACTTTATAACGTCGTAAATCTAAATAAAAAATAAGTAATTCATATCCGGACGTTTCGTTCGTCTTTTTTTTATATAATCTAAGAATTAATGTTTAAATTTGAACCACTCTATAGATCTATTAAAAATTATATCTAGAATACTAAAAATGAATTTTATCTATAAAATGTGTTGTATAATGAACGCATATTATCGTCAAATGTTTGATGATTAAAAATAAAAATATAAATTAAAAAAAAATATTAAAATAAAATAAGTATATTAGTCGGCTTCGAATTAAGACTGTTCTCATAATGGAGATTTTGGGAATATATTTGTGGAAAGAGAAATATATTTGTGGAAAGAGAATACGCAGGGTGTAATACAATTTTTATATATTATAATGAAATTTTGCGTCCTCGTTACATGTACTCTCTATCATAAAATAAAATTCAATTTTCATTTGTATCAAAATATCAAGTATAATTCAAGACTACAATCAATACAATTTATAATTAAATTTTGGATATCGAATAATAACAAGAATTTCGAATAACAATAGACTTTTTATTACTCAAGAGTTAATAATTTTGTTGTTCTGTTATCATGTACTTCTTTTGTTGATAAATGTTTTGCGGAAGATGCATTCTTACACATACATATGCATTCTCCAGTATATAAAGTTAACATTTTATAAAATAGAGATTTAATACTTTTGTCTGACGATTGCTCTCGCGGCTCTGATCGCGATAAAATACTTATTCTAGCATAGAAAAAAATATATGTATACATATAACTTTAAGACTCTGTTCTAAGAAGCAATATATCTATCAGTTCCTTGCATAGCACGGAATAATTGTGTCAAAATATACATATCTAATTCATTTAGACACGTGCTGCTTTCCATTCTTATTCGGTCTAAGTTTACGCTAACGAAATCCTTAGTATTGAAAGTTTAAAGTGAGCAGTTGCATCAGCGTATTATGCAAAATCGAGTTGAACTCTATAAAATCAGAAAGGCAAATTCCTCTTCAAAATTACTATCCATTTCTTCAACTTATTTTTACATATCGCCAGTTGTACGTTAATCACAAGAATAATGCAAGATGAAGGAGGGGGGGGGGGGNTGCAATTGTTGATATTGCGACTGTCCGTCAGTCACACCCTGCGCCGCCAGTTCTGCGAGCGTTCTTTCGAGGTAACTCATATCGGGGTAACCATGGCCGGAAGTAGACGGGCCTAATTCAGTCTTATGATGGATCTCGTTCCAGGTGACGACGTCCTCGCGGCCAGTGGTCACCGATCGGCCGATCGTGAAAATCAACCTGCGCTCAAACGCGATCTGCAGCAATCTCAACACTCGACGACCGAGACTGTTATCCGGCAGGTAACACACTCGTGGAAAGCCCACTGCGTAGTAAGCCTGGCCAGGATTAGGATGCTCGTTAGTTTGAATCCCGGATGGAATGCTGTAAGAATCAGCATGAAATTAAGATCAATATATAAGTATCGACATTCATTATTCGAAATTTCAATTTAGTTAATTTTTTAGTTTCTCAGTCTTCTTATATATGACCTGTTTTAATTCAAGAAATTTACACACAACGAAGCGTAAAAATCTCGTACGTATCTCGCTTCATACATTTCAATATGTATGTAAGTTTCTTGTTGCAGCCAGTTCAATTAAAAAGAACAGGCTAATAAACTCTTCGGAAAAATAATATGAATACTGTCTCTCCGATAACATACTCATAAGTAATTTGTATAGTATTGCTGTTCGGGAAACCCGGCAACGCACGCGGTATCCGCGTCCAGTTCATCGATCCGGGTGGTTGATTGCCTCTTTTCTCGCCGTAGATCATACGGCAGACCGGGCACTGTATGTACATGGGAGGCTGCTGACAGCTGAGCATCGCGTTCAGACACGCCAAGTGTAATCTGTGCCTGCATCGCGTCAGTTCTACCGTCAGTGGCTCGGGAGCGCCTAAGCACACCGGACACGAGTCGGAGCCGTCGCTCTCGACTACTTTCACGTACTGAGATATCACGTCTGACGCAACGTCCACTCCTGCAAAGATATTTGAGAAAGATACAATTAATAAGAAAAATATAAAGGCTCTCAGGATATATATAATTAAAATTTACAAAAAAGAAAAAGAACAAGAGTCAATGTGCTGGTTGTTGTTTGCAATTATTAGTAGTTAGAAACGTAGAATTATACAATCTATGAACACGGACGTTTCGGTCCTAAGTTGGGACTTTCTTCAACGTGAATCACGATATGATAAAATTAACATTCGATGGTTAGAAACGCAGAGAAAAAATATGAACACCGATCTCTAGAAATATAAGTATGAATTCAAAGTTGTATGTTAGAAATTATATAAATTTGATATCTCTTTCGAGTCCTGTTGCTCATATCCGGATATGGTGACTTCTCTTATAATGCCTGTTGTGCGCACGCTGATTATACATAGGCATATGGAACCTACAGTTTAACGCCAGTTCCGAAAGGCAAATTTTAGAAAGGCGTTCATGGCAAAGATACTCTCGGTAGGTTGCCACTTCTTTCCGAGAGACAAGAGCGTAAATATTTTGCCTTCTACTAGGATCGAACCTGAGACCGCTGGCATAGTAGACCAATGCGCTGTCTGCTATGCCACGTTCGCGCTCGCGTAAATTTGATTTATAGATGTAAATTTTAAAAATAAATAGAGACAGATACACGTGAACATCTCACGAAACATACCGAGAACAGGATCTTTGAACGCGTCGTCGCTTCCCACGCTGCTGTCCAGCAAATCCACCGGATTCTCGTGACTCAGATACGTCGACACGGTGTCTACACTTGGCCTGCGACCACTCTTGGTGCTACTGGAATCTACATCCAAGACTGCGTCCCAGGTTTTTCTCTTTTGACCGGACTCCACGTTCGTCGGATTGTTATTCTCGATTCCATGTTTATTGCCAAAAATGTTGAAGTTGCTCAAGATAACGCGCGCAATGTTCGACGGTCCGTTCTCTCCGTTTTTACCCTGACAAATTTCACGAGTAATGGAAATGAGTTGGTTTACTTTTTGATAATGAGTGATGGGAAATAACTTCTCCAATCCTGGTTGTTTATATTACCTTTTTGCTACCCTTCTTTGTGCTTCCACTGGACGATTTCTTATGCGTGACTTTAACAGTTGAACTTTTAACAGTAACCGACGTGGATCTCCTACCGCCAGAAGTGATTTGCAGTTCCTCCAGAGCAACTTTGACTAGAGGATAAGGTGCTTGCTGTATGCGTCGTATGGGCCTTACATAGCCAGTACAACACCTCACTTGGGTCAGATTACAGAAGTTGATAATATAAGGGAAACCCAGATAAGTCTTGGACACATCGATGGTCTTCTCACCCTGATAGCAAGAGAAAATTATTTTACCGAGAAGAAATTATAAAGTTGTGTAATTTGTAACAATATTTTACTTACTCTCGCCCAAGCTTCTTCTATTAGACATTGCACTTCCATATCATAAGTGTGCCAATCATCCGAGTCACCTGCCCACTCCCACTTGGCACCTTTGCCAGCTGGTGAGCCTGGCAGGTAAAACTTCCTCCTTACATTGTATGTCTCGTCGCCATCGTCGCTGCATTGTGTCTTGGTTTTGAGATTTATATAATATCTAATGTAATAACATCGGTTCCTTTTGATAATATTTTTATCGATTATGTATAATCCTTACTCCTACTTTATAATTATTGTTTTTACTTATCGTCTTCAACAGAAGTACGAAGTAAACGGACCTGTGCTACTTAAGCATACACGAACCTGTCGAGGGTGGGATCTGCATCGTGAAGGAAGACACGGGTAAGCTTCTTGCAATGGGCCCGCTCAAGATGTTGCGACACAGCTGGACTGTACGGTCGCCACCGTCCGTGACGGTTCTCCCACTCCCACACGACCACCGCGTGCCCATGCTCTTGCCCCTGAGCACTCATCCTTTCCTCCGCCACCACCGCTCTCAGGATCCCACACTCTCACCCTTCCACGCAGCCTCACGGTGGAATTTCACACGTACGTGTCACGCACACTTGCGCAGCAGGAGCGTGGGAACATTTTCGAGTTTTCCCACGGTCGTCTTCGTCGTGTGTCGTCGCTGTCAACGGCGACGACAACGGGATTTACGGATTTATCTCTTTTTCACATGTGAATCAAACCTCTCTGCTCGCCGTGAGATACTCACTCAAAGCAACAGACCACAAAATTGCGTACGAAAATCACAACTTGCCTCAAGATCAAGAGAAACGATACACACTGGTAAACTATAAACTGTACGAATCACTTGACACACCGCCATCTAGCGGTGTCGTATTATGTTATTCAAGGTACCAATTGTGCTAATGTCACGTATATAGTTACTAGATCAAAATTCTAGGTAATTTTAAGTTAATATGGGTGTTTCTCAGCAGGGAACACAGTATTACACAATGTGAAAACAAAGCTATTTTATTGGCTACATATTATCTAAATTATATTCTAAAATAATGTGTAGCCAATAAAATAACTTTGTGTTGTGACCGGATGTCACTGAATAAGTAGCAAAGTCGACGTTAAATCGTCCAGGCCCTGCCGAACATCTAGAAGTTAACTTCCCTAAGGATCCCTAAGCATCCATGGTCGCCAGGACGTTTTTAGAGTTTTCTCGCCCAAACTCTAGGCCTGGGAAGCTGGACCGGCCAAGTCTCCCCAGATATGCCGTGATGTAGTTGGTGCGCGGAGGGATTTCCCTCCCCGGCAGCGCTGTCGTTCCCGAAGAGAATGTTCGAGCCACAGGACGCCCGCCTCAGACACACAATATGGAAAAAAGGGAGGCACAAGAACTGAAGTACGTATTCTTGGAACACGAATGACTAAACTCTATTTATTAGAAAACAAAAAGCACTAGCGCGACAAATGACAATGAGATCAACAAAATAAAACGTAGATTGTACCTACTTTAAGGAATAACATAAGAAAATATAATGAACGGCTTGATTAGGATAAACGCACTTAGAACTACGAAATAATTATATGAATATCGGTATATTAATATATAGATAATATTTACAACAAAACGCGACTAACAATCATGAAATAAAATTCCGAATGAATACAACACGAGTCTAACTCGTAGGAACACTATCCCTGAAAGACAGGATTATTTCCGCGAACCGGCACGTTGATAAAGAAATATCGCACGCAGTTTCGTCCACGGTTTTTATCTCGCTCTATTGCGACGCAGGACTCTCGCCGTAACACGCCGAAACACGATCGGACATGCACGGCGAGACGACGCAATATGCGTCGTTTATCGTACCCGGGTGGTCCTCGGATTCCGGCCGCCGTCGTCGCGACCGGCGCTGATTTACCCGCCCGACGCTTTATTTCCTCGACGAAAAGTCTCGGACAAGAAGAAATTACGAGGGGGAACAGTGGCAAATCTTTAGTCCACTTACCGTCGCAAAAGCGACCGGTCGTTTCCCCGCGTCTCCCAGGCCTTTGGGAAACCTAGTGGGCTGGCACCAGGCCTCCCTTCCAGGTGAGGTTCCTTGTTCGCCGTCCCCTGGAGACCCCGTTGTTTCTGTCCTCTGCGCAGTTCTTTTCTTCCTTCTCTCACGTCCTCTCTTCGTTAGCGTCCGCTCGCAACTGCCTGCCTTTATCTCTTCTTCAATTTCAAAATCTTCAAATAATTCAGTACTCAAAGGGTTAAACAAACTTTTTACTTTTTCCATGCTACATTTATGAAAATAATTAAATTTGTGATATAACATTAAATTCTTATTCCCTAAACCTATCGAAATTAGACTTGTTCTTAAATTAAGGCTGTTCTTATAGAATACACTATTCTTATCAAATTAAACGGTTCTTGTGAAATAAAATTAAACTTTTCTTATCAAATTACACTATTCTTATAAAATAACTATTCTTGTAAAATAAAAATAAACTTTTCTTATAAAGTTAAACTATTCTTATAAAATAACTGTTCTTGTAAAATAAAAATAAACTTTTCTTATAAAATGAACTTAGTAAGATTCTTGGTCTTGTTTTAGTTTTTTTGGTGACATTCTTCTTCTCCTGGTCAGCCACTCTCCTTTCCGCGGCTGAACCTCCGGTTACAGTGTAAAACCAGCGGCACACGATGCCTGTTTTCGTGTTGGATTGCTTGTTAGATGCGTTTTGATTGGTATATTGTCATCCATTTTTGAAAATGCACCAATCAGAACGCAGTATTTTTATCTAGCAAGCAATTCAGCACGAAAACAAACATTGTGTGTCGCTGGCTTAACACTATGTTTCTTGCTGGAAAGCACTTTATAGGTGCATTCGAGGAGACGCTATTTAGAGCTACCGCGTCATTTTGTCCTTGTTGTACATGTAAAGAATAGTAAAGATAGAATGACGCAATAACGCTAAATAACATATCCTTAAACGCATCCTATGTAAGACTGTCGCAAGATAATTTGTAGATCTTTACAGCATCTATAGATGAACACAAGACAATTTTAATTCCGGCTTATAATAGTGTTTTATGCCTTAAGATTTAAGAAATTGACCAATCACAGTTGATAATTCTCCTTATAATATCTTAGGCCGAAATTTATAGTCGGATCTTAAATTTAAGACCGTTTTAAGTTTATCTTCAGATACTTTGTAGCCAATGAAATAAGTCGTCGAGTATCTAAAGATAAACTTAAGATGGTCCTAAATATAAGATCTGACTATGAATATCGGCCTTAAGCGGAGTCTACAATGAAAATTTAAGTCTTAAGAAATTGACCAATCACAGTCAAATATGAGGAGAATAATCGACTCTGATTGATCAATTTCTCAAGTCTTAGAGCTTAAAGTATCTATTATAGACTGGGCCTGATGCAACTTTTCCAGAACCAATGTGCCTCTCCCCTCTTTAACGCCATAATTCTCCTCTTTTTCACTCCTATACGCTGCTGGAAAACGGACGGCGGGAGTATCTCGGTAGAGATCAAGAAGAGCAGAACTGGCAATCGGTAGCCATTCGCCCATCATTAGTTTCTTTCTCAAGCTGCCCGTTTTGTCCCTTGACAACATTAGTCAACAAGTTCCTTTGTAATCGAGGCATTTATAGTCCTCTCGACAAACAGGCCAAATTTTGAAATGTGTAAATTTCTCATTCGTATATTCAACACGGGTGACGTGGCCCAACGTAGCGTTTAAGCCAGCGAAGCCAATGTTTTGTAAGTGTTAAATCATATATTTTTCTTTATTCTGAATATATCTATCTCTCATATATATCTGTTCAACATTCGTGAATTCTTAGGATGGAATCCCATGGCACAGATTTTCCGCGTAACACTTATCGTGTAACCAATCAGAGACCATCGTGTAACCAATCAGAGAATCACGTGTTTTCCGTTGCGCACATTCTAAAAATTGCGAACAGCTTTGGCGTATTACGCACTTTTGTTGAAGCGTATGTGTGTATGTGTGTTCAACAAATATTTTTTGTTTCATTCCAATTTATTGTAATAGTGTATGTAGATTGGTTCCAAGATTTGTTCGGAAAAGAATATACCACATACATAAGTTTGATCGTATTTGATCGGCACTCATAATATATTTGTATTATGTCATTTACTACATTACAGTATTATGTCATGTATTATGTCATTTAATATTTTCTTTTACTCATTATTTGCTCTTTTTCATTATTACTCAACATTACTCAACTTACATTTATCAACAATAAATATAGAGCCACAATTTTTTAAATTTTACATTTAATGCTATGTGATCGATTATTTTTAATGCAAATTTCTTATAAATATTAAAAAAAAAACTATTGTTCCAAATCCCTTTTACATAGTTATAAAAAGTATACAATAGCTGCGTTCCGATATTCAGCAGTGAAAATATACATATATATAGATCTATGCTTATATACAGGTGTCCCAGACCACTCGTCTCACCCGATTTTTTTGTAAACGCGACATTTTAAAGAAAAATGTTTCAGACAAAAGTTTTGTGACTTCGAGGGGCACATAAGATGGTGTCATTGGTTTGACCTTGGATAGTCGTTTGAAGATCACGTGAAGGTCACCTTTAATTTCTTAAATGGAAACCCCCATTTTTCAATGCATATTCTTGTAGCTTACCTCGAGAGCTTTCCAAAACGCTATAATGAAACGTTTTTTTAATCAGTACTTTTCGAGTTATGAGGGTTGAAAGTTACGGTACCGCCGGCATTAGCATTACCCAAGGTGGAGGTTGCACGGTCGGATTTACACCTCTTTGTGTGTTTGTGTGTTTGTGTGTGTGAATGTGTGTGTGTCAACTTGTTTTCATGGAAAATTCGCCAGATCGTGCTGCGACTAATTCCAGAATCTCTTTCTGTACGTCTTAATGAATGGCAGGGATGCAATTGAGCGGATGCAAGAATCTCCGGCATCCTTTCATCTCTAACTTGGCGTCGAATTTGTCTACCTTTATTGTGATCCGGTTGAAGAATACCTTTATTGGTAATTCGGTTAGCTAAGCGAGAAAAAACTTTGTACGAATGAGGAGCGCGATCTGGGTATCGTTCTCGCCACAATCTTGCAGCTGCTCTAAATTGACCATCACATTCACCTAAAATAAGCATCATATCACAAGCTTCCGCGTTTGAATACGACATGGCTGGTAAATGAGAATTTTGTTACACCTTACGTGACAGTATCAGACATGTCATATATCACGACTGGGTAATGCTAATGCCGGCGGTACCGTAACTTTCAATCCTCATAACTCGAAAAGTACTGATTAAAAAAACGTTTCATTATAGCGTTTTGGAAAGCTCTCGAGATAAGCTATAAGAATATGCATTGAAAAATGGGGGTTTCCATTTAAGAAATTAAAGGTGACCTTCACGTGATCTTCAAACGACTATCCAAGGTCAAACCAATGACACCATCTTATGTGCCCCTCGAAGTCACAAAACTTTTGTCTGAAACATTTTTCTTTAAAATGTCGCGTTTACGAAAAAATCGGGTGAGACGGGTGGTCTGGGACACCCTTATATAATCAAATATAATAAATATAATTTTATAATTTTACGGCGTAATTTCTGTTTTTCAATGCACACTATCTGCGTTTTAAAGTATTTAACAGCTCGAAAATACTGATGACGAATCTTCAGAATTCATGTTGAGTATTAATTGTTGAGTATTAATTTTCGTATGTATGGAATTCATGAATTGTGACGAATATATGCATGATGTGTGTTTTCGATTCGCATGAGTTCGTGTTTCCTTTATCGCATGCAACGGAAAACGCGGAAATGTAAATCTGCGTGTTAATGATATATACTAAGTCTGTTCGTGTTGTTTACTTTTTTGACACATTTACACCTAACGCCCGTTGCACATTAACCTCTTTTTAAAAAGAAGAGCTGTCATTGGATATCGCTCAACGCATTCGGTGTAGAACGGATATTAGATGCAAAAATGTCAAAAGTGCACGCAACGCGACAAACCTACTGTTTCAATTGATACAACGGAAAGGTCTGTGAGAAGGATCTTGTGATTGGCAAGTACCAGTTGCGCTTCCGCGAGTTCCATGGGACAGTGGGAAATTCATTTCTGCGGAGCGCAATTAGCGGAATGCTTGCGATTGGACGGACTTCGTTCCGCACCATGGAATTGCGTCATAATCCGTTTCTAATTTCAAATGTATCCAATCAAATTCGCCAAATCGACGATTAACTAGCAGTAATACCAATAGAAATTGTTGTTAGGAAAGAAATTGAAAGAGAAAAATTGAAATTGTTATGTTGGTGTTCTGTCAGTAAATTGTTGTTAAAATCCTAGTTCGTAAAAAGTCACCTTTAAGCTCGTATCACACTACCGATTAGGATTGAGATTAGATTGCAATTTGACGAATCAGAACAAAGTTTACTAAACTCAAGTTTAAGCAGCATACGATGCTTGTTTCGTGCTGGTTTGCGGATAGAAATACTGCGTTCTGATTAGTGTATTTCTAAAAATTGATGACAAAATACCAATCAAAAAGCATTATTTCCATCCAGCAAATAATCCAGCACGAAAACAAGCATCGTGTGTCGCTGGCTTTAATTAAACTTACTCTGATTCATCAAATTTCAATCCAATTTCAATCTTAGTCCGTAGTGTGACACGAACCTTACGATAAGTTTATAATCACACTTCTTCAACAGTTATTGCTCTACTTTTCACGATTGATATAATTTATATGTAAATCGATTGCGTTTATTTATATGCATACACATATATATATGTATGTATATAAATAAAATAAATAAATATATATATATATTATTTCATTCGTATGAAAGTTATAATAATCAGTTTCGTGTTCATAGCAAATATCACGGCGATTATTTCGCAAATTGAGATTCAACTCTTTTATCACTGTAATCCACGCTAATTTGGTCGGTAAGTTTATGCTTTGTACCATCACGGATGGATCATCCAGGGAGATTCATTAGAGGAGAGTTGGATCAGCTGGAACACGCGAGACATTCCACATTCGAGGAACAGATAAACCGTAACTTTAAAAACAGCTGGCCTCTAGACGCCATGGAGAAGTTCACGATGTTCGCCGCCGGTGTGGGATTCGCCTTCTTCGTCGGCCTGTTTGTTCTGTGGGGTCCGTCGCCTAAACCAAGGAAAAGAGGTAATAGTTATAAGGAGCGTTATATTGTTGTCGAATAGAAAGCAACATTTATTTATTAACCTTTACGAGCCGACATTACTCGAATCATGTTGAATCTCTATTAAGAGAGTGATAAGATCAGTGATTATATGTTTAAAAAGAGAAAAAGATTATTAAATTATTAACATGTGTACAGATTAGAAATATTGATCCGTAAAAATTAATAAGATAAAAATAATTATGAATGGGAAAGAGAATAAAAATATTACGAAGATAATCTAATTATGGCTTATATATAATATACATGTCAGAACTCATTTGTAATTATGATTATACTTTTAGGTAAAATTATTGGAATCAACAATTTGGGATACACGTGCTTCTTGAACTCTCTTCTGCAAGCATTAGGTTCTTGTCCTCAATTCATACTGTGGCTTGAAAAACAACAAGAGAAGAGGAACAGGAACTTTATCAATACTCTATCCTCTATTCTCAACAGTATGTTGATTTTTATCTAATATCTTAAATATTTTAATTCTGCATTAGAGAAACGATGTCTCGATATAGGATGTAAATATACTTTATTTATTTCTTTTATTTAATACTTACTGAACATATATTCTGGATTTTTCAAATTATTTTTTGTTATATGATTATCTTTCAAGATCATCTCTAATTTCATATGTACCTTTCACTTTGTTAAATATATCAGGAAATCAAGGTTAAATGTTTGAAGATTGTTTAGCATTATTATTCCGACTGATTTGAATATTTGATGAATATTCTTTTACGTGTTTCAATCTATATTATTGGCAGAGGTCAATGGTTTTGATGAAGATTTCTATGGCAATGTGACACCTACTGAAATAATCTCTTCTCTTGGCACATCTTGGAACTTTGGACCTGGTCATCAAGATGCACATGAATTATTTCATATAATTCTCAATGCGTTGGAAGATGAAATACAGCCTGATAATAGGGTATGATACATATTAAAAAAATTGATTTATATAATAGCATGAATTTTTGTATTCTGCATCTAAAATAATTTTCAAATTTCATATTTATATATATATATATATATTATTGACAATAAAAGTTATATATTTAATTCTCTTGTTTAAATTAATTTAAATTTTCTTGTTTAAGGATTAAAGGATTCTTGGGGTTGAAATATAATTGATTAAAAAAAAAAATTGCTCTTACAATTTTAGAGTGGCAGTTTATCCGATGTGTTACGTCAGAAATTTGAATCAAAAAATATATCGAACAAAAACAAACCTGGCATGATTGTCGCCAGATCACCAGAGCTGTTGTCAAGAAACAATGGCGAGTACATAAATTCCATGTGGTCGTGGCAATGTCTGTTCACCATACCATATTCCGGTACTCCACCGATGGACACAAATCCGTTCTCAGGACTGATCACTAGCCAATTAAAATGCAGCACCTGCGTCAAGAAGGTACCTCGACCTAAAGTAAGGTTTTTTTTCTTTTTTTTTTAATATATTCTTCGAACTAAATGTTCGAATACCTCTAATTTCTAACAAACTATCAGTGCTCATAAGGTGAGTGTATATTTAGTGTATTTTCTCTATAGTCTTCAGTGCGCTACGACAAATTCGAGAGTTTGCTGTTACCATTGCCACCTCCCTCGTCATTCATACAGCAGTATACCTTGGAAGATCTGCTGTCGCGCTTCGTAGACAGCGAGGTGGTGAGCGGCGTGGAGTGTGATCGATGCTCATTGCGCTGCGAGGCCATCAAGACTCTCCGTCTCGGTAAACTTCCTAAGTGTTTGTGCTTGCATATTTCAAGGACCACATGGAGTTCTTCAGGGTCAACTAAGAGAGACGATCAAGTCAGCTTTCCACAAACGCTCGTATTGGATCCTTACATTTACAAGGAGCGAATGAGGAGAAGCGCACAGGTATATATGAATCAACTTGATAAATATATAGTTTACATATCCGATTAATTTCATCAAACTATTGTTTTACAGGGAGACGCGAGAGATCTAAGTAATGGTTTTTCAGCGACACAGAAATACAAGTATCAGTTATGCGCGGTGATTGAGCATCGCGGCCCTGTGGATTGCGGCCACTTCGTTTGCTACAGACGCGCCCATAAAGAGAATATGTGGCTGTACACGTCCGACGTTGTCGTTGAAAGCGTCACCCTGACGAATGTTTTGTTTGCCAATCCATACATGCTTTTCTACGAGCGCGTCACAGCTTTGCAGGAGACCACGGTGCACAAAGGCTGTAGTAGCTAGGAATGAATGTTTTTTTTTTATGCGATAGAAATTACGAAATCTAGGAATTACGAAATTGCGCTTAGATCGGTAATGGGTCTGCTCTTCTTAGCTACACGTTCTCTCGTGCTTCCGACGTTTAAAACGAAGCGACTATGACAGCGACACGGAGATCGTGCGGAGAAATGGAATTGTAGGTGGAATTTGCAATTGTGGAATTGCAACGAATGAGACGCGAGGTTCGCGCGGACCGCAATAGACTGTTGAATTTTTCTTACAATCGGTGTAACATCGGTCGATATCGCGATGTAATTGCAATATATAATTTCATCGTAGAATAGAATTATAGAACATGTTCCTTGAGTGATATTTCACAGCGGTGGCGCTATACTGTATGAAGTGCGTATTATCCGAAATTCACCAGCATAAATGACGAATGCGATTAACGACGATGGTCGCCATTACGCCATAACGAATTTGGCGATTAATAGTTTCGGGAAGGGAAATTCCGCTTCTAACACAAGTGTAACGTAGTAACAGTAGATTTCTATTTGAGAAAACTGCCAATTTCAATAAAGTCCTTCGGTCGAGTTATTAAAGCTTATTTTAATGAAAACTGAAAACCAATATAAATAATGTGCCAATATAAAATGCTTTAAATTTAATTAGTCGAAGATAGAAAGTCGTTTTACATATTTTTATTGCGTTTATATTCGTGACGTATACTAGTATTTATATTTAAGAATAATAATGCGATCGAAGACCAATATTTTAATTTGTCGTGCAAGATTACCGGACGTATTGGTTGGCCGTCAAATAGAGAGTTTCTACAAACTCTAAAATTTTTTCTAAGAAACTCAAAATTCTCTATTCGATGACCAGTCGACTGTAAGTTGTGAACCACCAGATTGCGGCTGTCACTTCTTTTTTTCATGCAGTTCGGAACGCAGCTGGTAGTCCAGTGAGAGAACATAAAATTTCTGGAAATAATCAAAAATAGGTTCTCTCGTTGAACCATCGGCTGCATTCCAAACTGCAACGAAGAGAAGAATACAATTTGTTTTGAAATCAATTATGTATATTAGATTTAATGCCGATTATTGATTGCGAGTTGTCAATTCGAAACATCGTGACATAGTCAAACGATTCGCAAACAAAATCGTTAAATTTAATTACTTATGATATATAAATCTTTATTAGTAAGAAAAAAAATGAATTACTTAATTATTACAGAAAAACTCTTAATTGTTTTAATAAATTTTTTCTCTTGTTCCCTTTTAATTTATTCAATATTGTCAAACTATCAAAACTACACTTTGAGTACATTAATTTATACCGTTAAATATATTTCTTAATTTTACTTAATAATTTGTGTCCGAATCATTTTCTTATAATAATATTTTGGTATGATGTCTCTGCTTTTCCTATCTTCTATTTTTGGTTAAACTAGCTACCCTCATATTTTGCGAAATTTCCAAAAGCTTCTGTAATTTAAGGATTCGAGTCATATTTATCAATGTTTTCGCGACATTCTTTTGTCGAAAATAAAAACAAAAAATGCCACAGAGTATATTCGATAAACATGTACGACAAATAAAATATCAATAATAGATTACATATTTGTTACTTTTTGTATTGAAAAATCACTATCTTCTTCTGTCTAAGCGTTGTAATATTAGAGGTGTACTATTTATGACGATCTACTTTAACGAATCTACTTTAATAATGTTAGAGTAGAATATATGCGATAAATAATATGTACGATTAAAAATTACAAGACAAATGTACGAAAATGGAATAAACTTTAGAACATGGGATATGATTGTGTATTTACTCTCGTCGCAAATATCTTTTCTTTTCAAAAAAGATCCAATCATATAAAAATGATTAAATTAAAATAAATTAAATTAAAAAGGAAAATTTTAACTAAGCGCTACTTACTGATACAGCTTTTTAAGTTTAACATAAAATATTGCACTTGTACATTATGCCCAATTACTATTAAGACAATATTATTAATATTTAATTATTATTATTAAATTTCGAGACACATTAGATAATAGGATTACAATTTTATTTAAATGAATTGTAATTATTTGAATTTCTGTGAACTCTTCACGAATATCACAATTAGAAAATGTTTCTTTACGTGTGTATTTTCAAACGACAAATGCGGATTAATAGTTCACAGCCCTCCGCGAGAGGTCTTCGCAGTCTCTCTGCCGGTCCTTAACAACTGTGCATGGTATTTATTTGCGGAAGGTAAAAGTGTCATATTTCCAACAGCACAAATAGTATTGAAGCCGTAGGTAGGAAAAACTGAGGGGAAGGATCTTTGGAGTAATCGTTCTAACAAAAGACGCTTAAAAAAATAAGTCAAACGCCCCAAAAATGTCGACGGAAGAACAGCCGGATCTTCGACTAGGACCAGATCCTAACATTGCTTATCCAATTCAGGTTCTTTATTGCGGAAATTGCTCCCTTCCCATCGAGGTAAATTTCATGGAATGTCAGTTTCAAGAATTAATAATAAGACGTGAACAGAGAAAAATGAATAGTAATTAATATTAGAGCTTGATTATAACTGACCTTTGCTCTAAAGTCTTCCTAAAAAGATAACAAATTTTGTCCTATGTATAAATTCTGTCAAAAAGATAGTAAAGTTTATGTTAATAAATGATCGCAGAATTTGACCATTATTAATTTGCAGTATTGTGAATACTATCCTGAGTATGACAAATGTAAGCAATGGCTGGAGAGAAATCTGCCTATTGAGTTCGAAAAAGTAAAATTAGGTAATTATAAAAAATGGACGAACTTCATGTTGATCATTGAAGCTTCTAACTTCCAAATTTGTATTCTGATCAGCTGTGGAAGATGGCTCCACGGAAGCTGGTGGAGGAGAAGATGAGAAAAAGCGGCAGAAGCGAGGAGGTAAAGGTATGCTGAAGACTAAGAAGAAGGAGGATGTACCAAAACTGGTGACTGTCTCCAGAGCACCCAGAGGAAAGAAGAAATCTGTTACTGTTGTGACTGGCCTCAGTACTTTTGGTAATGTGCCAAGTTGATGCTCTAGTTAAGTCAGAATAAAATTTTAATTAGATGAAATGTTAATTTCCTTCTGATTTTCTACAGACATAGACTTGAAGGTAGCAGCAAAATTCTTTGGTAGCAAATTTGCCTGTGGCTCCAGTGTAACTGGAGATGACGAGATTGTCATTCAGGGGGATGTCAAGGATGATCTATTTGATGTAATACCAGAAAAATGGCCACAAGTAAGTTAAGTTTATTCTGTTCACATTATTTAATAAGTCAGAATATAAATCATCTGAAATATGAGTTTTATAAATATAAAAGTATTATAATATTATAATAGAATTTAAACTTAAAATCTTATCAAAAGACTCTTATCTTAATGAGGAATTCTATTCCTTTTTTTCTTTTTTAGATCGATGAAGACTCGATAGACGACCTTGGTGATCAAAAAAGATAATAAGGTTATCTGCACTATATTTACATGCTTGTATTTAATATTATGGTATTTCCATTCGTGTTTATTATATAAATAAAAAATGTACATAAAAATATAAATAAGTTATGTCAAGGCCTAGAGATTAGGTTTGTTTAGTATCTTGCTGCTCATCTTCTCGTAGATTTGCAATAATCTGTAATACAGCTTCGACGTCATCATCTGACAGCCGGTCCTCGCTGTCTTCTATAATCTATTCCCAAACATATGGAACAATTACTTAAAACATAGTTGATATAAATTCTTGACATAAACTTGCATATAATATATATTTAACATATTTAAGTTATGAAAATATTCGAAAAGAAAGCTGTACCAATTGTATTTCAAGTGGAGTTGTAGGACAAAGATTTAGAAGAGTGAGCTTTTCGCATTTGGTTAAGTTAAAGGACCCTATCTCCTGTAAAAATTTTCTGATCTTTTCTGGATTCTGTTTTATGCACGGTGTATCTTCCAAGTATTTGCTCGCTAGATAAGTAATAGTTGCTAAATTGTTCATCTTCTCATTGGGTTCCACTTTCTGCAGAAGATTCAGCACCTCGTAATTGCTCAAAGAAGCAGAACAATTTTCTATCCTGAAAGGAGATACATTATCCTCCTATATAAAACCAAGATGAAACAAATACAATGTTCGAGAACTTACACTTGCATATTGTGATATCCTTAGTACTAAAAATAATTTGGACAATAATGCTGCAAAAAGAGCAAGATGATAATGACAATAATGCTGCAAAATGATAATCAAATTTGGGTTTTAAGAGGTTATATATAACCTCACTAATAGATCACACTACTTCTATAGCGTGCAAATTATTTTGTGTGTGTGCGCGCGCACATCGATCCTTCTAAAACGTAATTATTTGATTACCAATAGCCTGTGAGTTAAGAATTGCTATTTTTACGGGCCATTGAAGCTTCACACTTTGGGACCGATATATACGTACAATTCTTCAGATGCACTAAACCTGTCCTTTCTACTTTCTTATAATATGCACTTAAAATGCAGAAAGTGCAAACGAATGGAGCAGATTTTAATTAAATTAACAGATACATTTAACACTTAATATTTATCATATATTACAAGAATATTATAAACGACGGTGGAAAAACAATATAACAACAAAAAAAAGTGAAAAAAAAAAGAACGATTGACCCCGACGTGATTTGAACACGCAACCTTCTGATCTGGAGTCAGACGCGCTACCGTTGCGCCACGGAGTCATGTGTTAAACCGTTCACATAAAACTGTATATGACCACACGTACTATCAAAATGGATAAAGGGGGTGCTGAGGTCAAGGGTAAAGAAATACTACAAGCACACCAATTCATTCAGTTGGCTACGACATCTCGCTACTCTACTTTATTTGCCTGTGTATGTTTAACTCTACCTTATTATTTCTAAAAGAAAAGATTAGAGATTGTTTGAAAGATGATTAAAATAAAAACTCAATCAGGAATAAGACAATGTGATTATTAATATGCGAGACAATTAATCAAGTAAGTTTAAAATTTTAAGTCAGAAAGTTCATCTTAATACGAGCTTTTTATGCGCATTCATTTCCTTGCCGCCATTTTGTGATCGTTTATTTTCGTCAGCGTCTCGTCGTTACATTTTCCTCGAATAATTTTTCACGATACTGTCTTTCCAAAGAGCCAGAAAAATTCGAGACTGTCACTTCTACGATTACGATTGTGATCGAAATTCAATGATTGAATGTGAAATTCTACCTGTAATTATCGTGAGATTAATCGGCCGAAAAGTTCGTTATTTGAATGGGCTTTTGAATTGCTGAGGAGTGGGATCTTCAAGTGCTGGGAATGATAATTTGCTTAGAAGGATTCATTGCATGGACATCGCGGATACGCGGCAATTTCTATGATTTCAGTGCAATTGAAAGCACGTTCGCGAGATTTCGTAGTGCCTCCCGCTAATAATTCGAATGCTACACGATAGATCGACTCGTTAAGTCGAGCTGAACTGGTTGGATGCCATGCTGACGCCGTCCGTGTATTCCCGCCAACGATGTCAGTTTGCTAACCTCGAATCGTGAACCGGTGATTACAGCCGGGTACATTCTGATCGTTCGTCAGATTTCACGGAATTTCCTTTCGATATGGCTAGTGCTATGCAAAAAAATAAGGACACCTCCGCGGAGGATACGAGAGTCTTGGAGAACATGGGATGTGACGTAGACGAAGAAGGTGGTTTGAGAGTAGACGACGAGATATATTTCCCGCCACCACCAACAACCTTCTGTGAAGCCGACACAAATGAGCCTAGACTTATGATAAGCAAAATTGTCAATAAGAACTTCAAGAGCTATGCTGGCACGCGAATCGTTGGACCTTTTCACAAGGTAGAAATGTGTTGTGTGTACATGTTTGTCTTCTAAGTATAATTAAGTGTAGGTTTAATTGACTTCAAATATTGTATGTACAAGATATTTTTTGTTTTCAGCACTTCTCAGCTGTAATAGGTCCTAACGGTAGTGGCAAAAGTAATGTGATAGACTCGATGTTGTTTGTATTTGGATACCGTGCTAGTAAAATAAGATCAAAGAAGATATCAGTTTTAATACACAATTCCAGTCAATATACAAATATAAATAGCTGTACTGTCTCGATACACTTTCATAGGATCATTGATGAGGTAAATCATAATTTGTATTTATCTATTTTGTGACAATTCTTTTTGGTTTTGCAGCAAATGATTGATATTAACTTTGATTTGTTGTTTTTAAGCCTGAAGATGACTACAAGATTATTCCAAATAGCGAATTTGTTATATCTAGAACAGCATTTAAAGATAATTCATCATACTATGAACTCGACAAAAAGAAAGTGCAATTTAAAGAGATTTCAAAACTTTTGAGATCTTATGGAGTTGATTTAGATCATAATCGGTTCTTGATATTGCAGGTGAAACTATATTAATTTATTAACTTAGTTGAATAACTGACTACTTTAAAACTTGTATCTTTAAAATGTACCTTCTCATGTGAGATGTTTTTAATAGGGCGAAGTTGAGCAGATCGCTTTGATGAAGCCTAAAGGACAAAATGAGCATGACACAGGCATGTTAGAATATTTGGAGGATATAATTGGCACCTTCCGTTACAAGGAACCACTAGAGAAATTAACGGAAAAGGTCGAAACGTTAACCGAACTTAGAGCGGAAAAGTTGCATCGTCTCAGAATTGTACAGAAGGAAAAACAGGCTTTAGAGGAGCCTATGCAAGATGCGGTGCAGTACCTGAAAACTGAGAATGAAATAATCAGTTTGCGGCATCAGCTTTACCATTGCGAAAGGTGATTTAATATTTTATCTAATAAAAACTACAATACATTTCTGCGATATTTGTAACCTGTACAATATATATAGGTAATTTAGATAATTATTAAGAATTGTAAATATTCTTCACAGACATGACGCGGTGACAAAGCTTACCAAGAATACAGCGATAAACGATAATTTGGATAAGGAGGTAGCCGAACTGGAAGGTGAGATGAAGAGCGTTCATAAACAAAAGGAGGAGAAGATCAAAGTCATTAGAGAAAAGAGTAAGAAGTGGGATAATTTGCAACAACAGAAGGATGAAGCCACATCGATGTTCAACAAAGTGCGCAAGGAGGACGAGTCGCTGCACGCTGAGCTAGTCGAGACGAATAAACGACGAAAAGCTCACATGGCGACCATCAAGACTGTAATTTTCCATTCGATACACCTATAAACAAATAGGAAAGATGTTAATGTTTTTATTTATTCTAGCAATATACACAATTATCTATATAAAGTTAAATAGTTTTAACAATTTACATAACAATCATAGGAGAAAAGCAAAATGGAGGAATTGTTGAGGGTACCGGAGAAGAATACGGAGGATATCAAGGAGTGCGAGCGTCTGATTGAAACATACGCGACTAACAAAGAGAAAGAAGAGGAATCGTTGGCGACTTTGATGACGAAACTGGGAGAGAAGACGAAGCCGCTGCTAAATGATCGGTCGAATTTGGAGAAGAAACTGATATCGTTGCGGAAGAATGTGGATCAGGCAAAAGCGACACACGATATCGCGCAGTCAGAGCTAGAACTGTACACTTCAGTAGAGAAGGTGGAGAGAGAGAAGTTAAGCTCGCTCCTAGAATCCATAGAAAGGAACGTGAGCACTCTTGAAGAACGACAGCAACAACTGGCACTGTTTGATACGAAAATCCCAGCTACCGAGCGCAGTCTGCAGCAAGCGCATGACGAGATGGAACAAGCGAAGGTGTGCGAAATCGAGAAGACCGCCCAGTTGAAGAAATTGCGAATTTCTTTCGAGGAGCAGCGGTCCTGTATGCAAGCCAGCAGATCGCGAAACTGCATTTTGGACTCCTTGATGCAGGAGAAGCGAGAAGGGAGGATACCCGGAATATTCGGAAGACTGGTTAGTAAATCTTAAAGATGAGCTTGAGATGATTAAATGATACGTTGACACTGTTAATTCACGGGATAAAATTACGTAAATCTAGAGCTATGTCATTAAATCACCTAGAGCTGTGTTATTAATTGTTCTAAAATGTTGAATTATATATAGTCGGTGTCATGTATGCTGTACTATTTTCTCTAATCGGAGAGTTACACGATTTTCAACTTTACAATATAAAACATAAGTTGAAAATCACAGAACATAAAAGTCTTAAAAATTAGAATAGGCAAGTAAGAGCCAAGCACAGTTATTATGTGCAAATACATATTTTTCATTATTCGTATTTTTAATGAGACTTATTTGAAAGAATAAATGTGTTTGACAATTTATTTTCTCAAATAAGTATCATTAAAAATATATATTTACATAAAATCATCTTGCTTATATACAGTCTATCACACAAGAGCATGTCGGCGATATCTCTATAAATATAAATTTATTTATACATTTATTTCGATAAATTGAAAGTATATATTTTTTTTTTATTTAGACATCCTAGAGTTTTTTCACAATCTGTCCGCAGGGACAATCAGTAGAAATTATACGACTATAAAAATAACATGGAAGGCTCGTATCCAGCGATACCGCCCCATTAAGAAATCATATTCGTGAAAACACATTTGAGCGTTAACATTAGGAAAAGAATGGTACTAGTTTTCAGCCAAGTCGCAAGGTAGGATTCGTTTAAGACGTCGAATATTAGCAGGCCTGTCCATTAGTTTTGTCACAAGGGTGTTTGGGTGGACTGCTAAGCGATTTATGCTATTAATGCTATACTTCTGAATTTCTTCCTTGATTCTTGGTACTTGCAGTTCTTTATGTAAGTCTTCGTTCGTCATGAACCATGGGGCGTTTAAAATTAGGCGTAGTACTTTAGATTGGAAGCGCTGTATAATTTCAATGTTAGATTTAGCTGCTGAACCCCACAGCTGTATCCCGTAAGTCCATACAGGTTTTAAAATGGTCTTATATAACAGCAGTTTGTTCTCAGTTGAGAGATTAGATCTATGTCCTATTAGCCAGTACATTTTGTGGAGCTTAAGTCCAAGTTGTTTGCGCTTGGTAAAAATGTGCTTTCGCCAGGTAAGGCGCCGATCGAGGCAGATCCCCAAGTATTTAACTGAGTCGGACTGAGGAATCGTTTGATTGTTAAGGGTGACAGGTGGACATGTATCTCTTTGCGTTGTGAACGTAATGTGCACGCATTTTGATTTGTTGATCCTGATTCTCCATTTCTTTAACCATTTCTGTATTTCAACAAGGTACGCTTGCAATTGCTGTGAAGCAGTCACGGGATCCCTGTTGGAGGCTAGTATCGCTGTGTCATCTGCAAATGTGGCAGTACCGACTTGTGGCATTATAGGAAGATCATTAGTGTAGGTTAAATAGAGAATGGGGCCTAGTACACTGCCCTGAGGTACACCAGCTGTGATTTGATGCAGATTCGTTATAGCGTCTTGATATTTGACCAGGAAGTGCCTGTCCTCCAGGTAGGATTTGATAATTGTGTAAAAATCTATAGGTAAGAGACTCCTGATTTTGTAAAGAAGACCAGAGTGCCAAACTTTATGAAACGCTTGCGTTATGTCGAGGAATACTGCAGAGCAGAACTTTTTGTTTTCGAGATTGTTGTTAATATTGTTAACAATCCTATGCACCTGTTCAATAGTGGCATGTTGCTGTCGAAAACCGAATTGATGGGTTGGGATCAAGCCTTTACTTTCGATGATGGATAGTAATCTACTGAGAAGCAGCCTTTCAAATACTTTAGATGTTATTGGTAGAAGGCTGATTGGACGATATGCCGTGACGTCCACAGGATTTTTTCCGGGTTTGGGGATCATGATGATTTGAGCCACCTTCCTTTGAGGAGGGAAAAAGCTAGTCCTCAAGATGGCGTTATAGATTTTGGTCAAGAATTTGAATCCTATATTTGGCAGTTCTTTTAAGATTTTGGCAGTTATTAGGTCATATCCAGGACTCTTTTTAGGGTTGAGATCAGTCAGAATGATTTTTTTAACTTCAGAGATATCGAATTTCGCAATAGTTGGTTCGGGTTGATAGTCCATGCTTAGAAGTTGGTGAATTCCCTCTTCTTCCGTAAGCGGAATTTCACTATTGTTGGGTGTAAATAAGTTTTCTAAATGAGAAGCGAAAAGCTCGGCCTTGTCTTGGTTACTTCTTGCCCAATCTCCTGACGCAGTATGTATTGGGGGTATAGGGACACGAGGTTGTTTTAACTTCCTAGTTGCTCTCCAGAGTGAGTAGTCGGTGGCCTCTGTAGCATTCAAGCTATTTAAGTAGTTTTCAATTGCTAATTCCTTCTCTTTGGCTAGCATAGCTTTTATTTCTTTAGTCGCTTTGTTTAATTTGGCTTTAAGCTCAGGAGTCTTAAATTTTTGCCAATCTTTTCTAAGTTTACGTTTGGTAGCAATTTTGTCCCTTACTGCCTTAGAGCAGGAACCATCACCATTTCTGTAAGCTCTCAACAAGGTAGAGCTCCACGCTGCTTGTTATATGCAATGATTAAATTGTTCAACTGCTAGAGTAATGTCGGTTTCAGATTTTAAAGGAATATTTGTGTTGATACCATTTTCGATGTGAGATCTAAAGCTTTCCCAATCAGTGCTTTTATTGCACAACATCGGAGGGTTCTCTTTTTTGAAGATTTGAGTACTTAGTGATACAATTACAGGGGAATGATTCGATGACAGTTCCAGACAGGATTTAGCTTGCAAATATCTATTTGCTATACCTTTGACAACGCAAATATCTATAACATCAGGAATTTTCCTTCTATCAGTAGGCCAATAGGTGGGCTCTCCCGTGGAGACAACTTCCAAGTTCATGGACGTTAAAGTTTTGTAAAGTTCTCGTCCTCTAGGTGTTGTCAGTCTAGAACCCCATTGGGGGTGTTTAGCATTGTAGTCTCCACCCGCTATGAAACGATTGCCCAGTGACTGAAAGAATTGCAAAAACTGAATCTCTTTTATAGCGTGTTTCGGGGGACAATATATAGCTGAAACTGTAATCGGACCGTTCCTATCGAGGATTACAACGTTAGTGGCTTGGATATGATCATGTTGGAATTTATCCGTTTCATGGTGTTTGATGCTGTTCCTGATGATAACAGCTGTACCCCCATGAGCTGTACCATCAGGATGCATAGTGTGATAAATGGAGTAATTATAAATCTTCAGAAAGTTTTTCTTAGTAAAATGGGTTTCTGAGATAAGCATAATATTTAATTTATGAGTTGTGATAAAAGCTTGAATNTATCTAATTTATGAGTTGTGATAAAAGCTTGAATTTCTTGCCTATGTTGCGACAAGCCGTTGGCGTTCCAGAATGCTATTTTGTATCGCTCGAATGCTATTTTATTTTTGTGACGAGGGTTGTTAGTTGGTTGATCATGGTGCTCATTTGCTCCATGAGGCCTTTCATCATACTTTTGAGCTCGGCGATATCATTTACTAGGTGGGGGTTAGGTGGGTTTCTATGCTGTTCGTTAGTCGTATGATGAAACCGAGGTTCTTGAGCTGCCGCTTGGGCATATGAGATCTTTGTCTGTAGAGGGCTATCCGATTGCCGCAATTGGGGGTCCTCGTCTTTTAGTGGTGGACTTTGCAAGATTTCCTTTTTGCGTAGTGCAGGGAATTTTGATTTCTGGAGTTCTTTATATACTTGGCAACCCCTATAGTTAGCGGGGTGATTGCCTTCGCATAAAACACATTTGACATTAGGTGACTTTCCCTTTCTTGGGCATTCTTTGGTTTCGTGATTACCTGCATATTTGACACATCTTGGTCGCCTTGCACAAAAGTTTTTTGTGTGTCCATAGCGCTGACAGCGCGAGCATTGGGGTGTTGTCCTTTTTTTGTTAGGCGGCTCAAAATAGATCTTTGTGTTTAGTAAGTATTCAGTTTTGTATATTTCCTTATTATTTGGTTTACTTTTTAGATCGANAGGGACGGTCATGCTTTTTTTGATAAGAATGGAACTCCGTGTTTTTACTTTTTAGCGCCACAATTATTGTGTCATAGGTCTCAATAGTTTTGGTCTGTATTTTGACTTTCTGATGGCTTATTATCTTTAGAATGTAGTTTCCTTTTGCAATTTCTTCAAGAAGAGTGGTGAGTGGGTTAATGTTGCCAACATCCGACACAAATATCGGTGGAGGTTTAGTTGGTTTTTCATTACCCTGTTCCGCAGTTGTCTCAGAAGTTAAGGATGAGTTGTCCTGATCTTCCTCATTGTTGAGTGGGCTGAACCTGTTAGATGTTGTAACTGAGGGATTCAACCAGTAGTCCATTTTTGTTTGTTTGGGCTTACGCTGCTAGTTCTCTTCCGGACTATTACGTAGCCTCTTCTTATTTTTATTCTTGCCTGCATCTGCTACTTGCCATGCAGGTTCGCTGTTGTCTTCGTCTTTGTTGGAAGCAAGACTATTATTAGGAAATTGGGATTTTGTCCTCGTTTCCTCTAAAGGTGTGGCAGACGCTTGTTCTAAATCCTGTCTTGACTCTGGTCCTTTCGCCAGCAATGATTGGCCCCCCCCCCCCC